GTCCCCGCTGGGCAGTGCCCCGCGGTCAGCGCCACCGCGGCCACGTCGGTCGCGCAGAATTAGCTGGCCGCTGCGCGCGCGAGCATGCACGGACTGCCGCGGCCGCGTGGATGCACCAGCCAACGTCAAGCACTCATCGCAATCATCGCCGCATGGGTTTCGGCAAACCACGTTGCGGGCGGGCGGGGGGACGATTGCGCGAACAATGGAGTTGACAACCCACTGCGAACAGATTTTTCTACAAGAGAATTTCGATTTCCCCCTGGGTTGAACGACCTCCTTCTTCGTATTGCAATTTGCAAGCGATGTTGCCCCATCGCACATGTGAAATAAGAGCCCATATCATCCCAGGCAGGCCGGTGACGGTTCCCCCCTCATCGTCTGCAGAAAACATTATGCGCTCACACGTTCATCAAGAACTAACAGTTTCCAATAGTCCATCGCACCGAACGGGGCGACGTGCACGCGCGTGTCGTCGCGCGCTCGTGCTGAAATATATCAAGAACCGTTAGTAGTGTAAAGATTCCAAAATCGAGTGCCCCGACAAAAAAACAAAGCACGTGCTTTCGCATCCAGGATGTACAAACACAGAACAAATGCGCGCTCTTGCATGTTCTGCACAAACCATCGAACACATGTTATAAACATTTCTTATGGACAGAAAATTGAAATTTCGGCCATATATGACTAAAAGCTACCACGCGGGCTTCGCGCACGCGCATATCGAACGCCCTCGCGCGCGTGTTTTCGAAGGAATCTCTTGCAACAGATGGGACGAAGTGCACGCGCGCGCCATCGCGCGCGCACGCCGAAACCGTTCAAAGACATACGGTTTCGTCAGGGATTCACAACCGAGTTCCCCGAAAACGCATGCAAACATGTGGTTTCGCGACGAGGATGATCAAAACAAATTGCGCGCGCGAGTTCTTGCGAATATTTAAGAAAACCTTGTTGGTGTTTCAACGTTATCTTAGAATTTTGTCACGCGGGCCTCTCGCACCGCATGTCGAAACGCTTTTGCGCGCGTGCTGGGGGGGCAGGGTCCGTGTCCAATATTACAGTGCGGGCCACTCGCGCGTCGGTTGCGCACGCATGCCGAATTCCTTCCAAAGCTTTCATCGCCGACGCGATGACGAGGTCATCGTCGCCGGCGTGATCAGCATCGGTGCCGTCATTGGCCGCGCCGTCGTCGTTGTCAACGCCTTCGCCAGCGTCGCTACCATCATCATCGCGTCTACTGTTGTCGGCTTTGCCATGATACCACGCCCGCCCAAGTCACCGTTCGCAATGAAGTGCCCGGTGGGAAATGCCCGGCGGTCAGCGTGACCGCGGCCGCGTTGGTCGCGCCAAACATAGCTGGCCGGTGCTCGCGCGAGCATGCACGGGCAAGCGCGGCCGCAGAGATGCACCAGCCAGCGCCAGGCACTCATCGCAATCGCCGTCGCATGGGCTTTGCAGACACAGCCTGCGGGCGGGCGGAGGGGGTGTTTGCGCGCGCAGTGGAGTTGACTACTCACTGCGAGCATGGGTGCATTGCGCGCTGTAGATTGCACCGCGCGTGCCGCGTCACAAAGCGTGCAACACATAGTCTTCCTGACGAAGAAAGGCAGTCGGATCAACCGCCCCCTCCCCCCCCGGGATTGCAATTTGCATGCGGGTTCGCCCCGTCGCCCATCATGAATATGAGCTCAAACCGTCCCAGCCAGGCCGGTATCGACACACACCTTATCCTTTGCGAGAAATACGATGCGGGCACAAAGTGTACCCAATCCATTGGCATCAAGTGGCAAGAGGAGTTGGCCCAAACTTGCCAGGACAATGACAGCGCAGGCGCAGTTATATGCTGCGCAAGCAACGTGGGATGCGCTCGCGCGGCACGATCCACAGGACAACCACAAACGGCCGAGGAGCGAGGGCCCAGGCTCCAGGAGGATATGGAGGCGGGAGCGAAAGGCAGGGCGAGGACGTTCGGGGGGGCGAGCCGCCAGCGCGGCAGTAGCTGAGGGAGGGCGGCAAAGGGCAGGGGCAGACGGCAAAAGTTGACGGGAGGCGACCGAAGAGTGTTGATTTCGTTGGTCGTACGCTAAAGATGCAGCGCTGTCTGCGCCGTGTCGCTGCGGGCGCTCGACCAAATAATTAAACCTGCCTATACTTCGCGCATGGAGCGAGCGAGGCCTAGCTCGCCCACCAGTTTCCCCGCTTCCTTCCTGTACTTTTCAGCGCGGGAGCAAAATGCATGAAGGCGCGCCGCCAGGTCTGCGGGCGGCCCGCGACAGCGCCCCGCTCGACCCCCAACAGCCCTCGAAAGTGGCGACAGACTCGCAGATCGCAGCCCCCCACGGATGACGAGGTCTCATCTGATTCTGGGTGGTGCCTCACTACGCCAGACCCCCAAGCAGCCCTCGAAAGAGGCGCTTCGAAATTCGCAGCCACTGGGCTGGCGAGGTCTGATTTGAATCTGGGTGGCGTCTCTCTCCGCTGACCACCCAGCAGCCTTCGAAAGTGGCGAGCGTTTTGCAGATCGCAGCCCCAGGGATGGCAAAGTTTCCTATGTGTCTGGGTGGTTCCTCACTCCGCTGGTCACCCCCCCCCAGTAAGCTTCGACAGTGGGGCCAGTTTCGCAGATCGCAGCCCCGCAGTCATGGCGAGGTTGAATCTGAGCCTGGGCGGTGCGCCGTTAGCGGCGACAATTTCGCACGCCGCAACCCCCACAGGTATGGCAAGGTCTCACCTGGGTCTGGGTGGGGCATTCCCCAGCAGCCTTCGAACGTGGCGGCAGTTTCGCAGATCGCAACCCCCCATCGCTGGCGAGGTGTAACCTGAATCTGCGTAGCTTGCCACTCCGATGAACACCCCAGCAACCCTCGAAAATGGCTACAGCTTTGCAGATCGCAGCCCCCCACGGATGACGAGATCTAGTCTGGGTTTGTGTGTGGCACGTCGCTCCGCTGGACCCTCCGAGCAGCCTTCGAAAGTGGCGACAGTTTTGCAGGTCGCAGCCCCCCAGGGATGACGAGGTCTCATCTGAGTCTGCGTCGCACGCCACTCCGCGGGACCCCCCAGCAGCCTTCGAAAGTAGCGACTGGTTTGCAGATCGCAGCCCCGGGGATGGCGAGGTTTCCTATGTGTCTGGGTGGTGCCTCACGCCGCTGGCTCCCCCCAGTAAGCTTCGAAAGCGGGGCCAGTTTCGCAGATCGCAGCCCCGCAGTCATGGCGAGGTCGAATCTGAATCTGCGTAACACGTCACGCCGCTTGAACCCCCGGAACCCCCGGCAGCCACCGAACGCGACGGCAGTTTCGCAGATCACAGCCCCACAGGGATGGCGAGGTCTACTCTGAGTCTGCGTAGCATGCCCCCCCGCTGCCCTCCCCCCCACCAGCAGCCCTTGAAGGTGGCGGCAGTTTCGCAGATCGCAGTCTCATTGGCACTGCGAGGTTTCATATGAGTCTGCGTAGCACGTCCTTCCGCTGGACCCCCCAGCAGCAACGAACGTGGCGACACTTTCGCGGATCGCGCCCCCCACAGGGATGGCGAGGTCTAGTCTGAGTCTGCGTAGTATGCCCCCCCGCTGGGACCCCCAACAGCCTTCGAACGTGGCGACAGTTTAGCAGATCGCACCATCACAGGGGTGCCGATGTCTAATATGAGTCTGCGTAGTACGTTACTCCGCTGGACCCCCCAGGAGCCCTCGAAAGTGGCCACAATTTCGCAGACCGCAGCCCCCCAGGGATGGCGAGGTCGGAGACAAGCTGATATTCAAAAAGGAACGGGGTAAGAAGCGGGAGAGAGGAGACAACGAGGTAACAGGCAGAAGGGAGGAGACAGGAGGTGTCAAGGAGGGGAAGGGGGACGCGGGGACCGCAGTGCTCTATCCAAAAGGGATGCCCGACGCAGGAGGGTGGGGAACAAGGAGGGGGTGGGGCCCGCATTTGGCGGCGATCTTCCAAAGGTACAGGCAGGACGGAAGAGGAGAGGAGGAAGGATGCGGGAAGGAAGGAAGTAAGGAGGCGTGCGCCCGCAGTGCCGTATGTAAACACGCAAACCAAACAGCTGTTTTCAAGAATCCACCGCAAAAAAGCTAGGAGAAGTGCACGCGCGCGCGTCGTCGCGCGCGCCTGCCGAAATCTTTCAACCACCGTAGTCGGATGTCAACATCGAGCGCCCCGAAGCATGGAACAAATACATGTGGTTTCGCAGCGAGAGCTTTCTCCCAACACATCTGGCGCTTGCGCTCTTCCAGATTCTTACGAACACAATATGTTTACAATAGTTTCACAACATGCTACGAATCTGGCCTTTCGCGCGCGTGCGTGTCGGAATCGCTCGAACGCGCTTGTGCGCGTGTTGTCAAAGGAATCCCTTGGAGAAAATGGGGCGAAGTCCACGCGCGCGCGCGGCGTCGCACGCCCATGCCGAAATCAGCCAAAATCTTAGGTGTCGTAAGGATTAAAATATTGAATGTCCCGAATCCATACAAGATTCATATGGTGTTGCAGCTCCAGTTGTCAAGAAAGCTTGCACATGCTCTTGCGAATCCTTAAGAAAACCATAAGTTTTCAACATTGCCACCCAATTGCACAAGACGGGCCTCCTGTGCCGCATCCCGAACTCATCCGAACGCCCTTGCGCGCGTGCTGGGAGGGGGGGGGGGGGGGGCGATCCGCATCACATAATACCACGCGGGCCAGGCCGCGCGCGCATGTTGAATTCCGTCCAAAACCTCCATCGCCGACGCGGAGACCACGTCGTCGCTATCGGCGGGCGCGATCAACGTCGGAGGACGAGGAGGAAGAGGAGGAGGGGGAGAGGGAGGAGGGAAAGGAGGAGGAGGAGGAGGAGAAACAGGAGGAGGAAGCGGGAAAAGAGGAACACGCGGCGCGCGCGGAGCCATCTCCGAGCCAAGCCGGGCCAAGCCCGGCGCGACCGCGCCCAGCCGGGGGTCGCGCGGCTGGGCGGGTCCGCTGTCGCGCCCGCCCCGCCCGCCGCCGCATCGCCGCAGATGGCCACGGCGGTGCGAGCGTCGAGGCGGGGGGGGGAGTGGGGGAGGAGGAGGGGGGAAAGGGGAGGGGGAGGAGGGGGGGAGGAGGAGGGAGTGGGGGGCGGGGAGGGGGAGGAGGGAGGAGGGAGGCAGGAGGAAAAGGATGACTTCTAGGATTTCCGCCATCGCGTAGTGATGGTAGGAGGGAGGGGGGGCAGGGGGAGATGAGATCGGATCGGCTCGGCGGGATGGAACGTCGAGAACCGCAGCGCCGTTTGAGGAGATGGAAGGGAGGCAGGAGGGAGGGAAGGAGGAGACCGGAGGGGTGAGATGGGATGTAGAGGTAGGTTGGAGGAGGATGGAGGTCGTTACTTTCGTTCCCTCCGTCTCTCTTTGGAGCTTCTACGCGCGTGCCTCTGCACGCGCTTGGCTCAAGACAGCCGTGAGACTCGGACGCAGCTGGCGTCTTGGCAGGGAAAGGGTGCGCGCGCGCCTCTCTCTCTCTCTTTTAGCGCGCGCACGTCGTTATCCACCCTCGCATGGAATTGCTGGACGGAGCATTGCAGCTGCGTCGGGCGACATCCACCTACAATGTCCGTGTGGAGGGATCCCCAGGGTTAGGAGATCGGAACAAGGGAGACGCCCATTCGCCAGGGCGTGTTGACGGCCAGACGAGAGACAGCTTAATTACCAATCGAACAGTTGCTGCGACAAGAGCTTCAGGCTGTGCGTCAAAGCGATCACCACAGGAGTAGTAACTCGAATAATCCGAGTGACTGTGGCGAGAGTGCAAAGTTGCACGGATCGCCAGGTGATCTTGTCAGAAGGGCCGCACTTGAGGGCGTGGAAGCGTATGACATGTTCACTCGTCTTGGAAGATACGGAAAACAATGATTCGAGGAACTCTAGCGGTGGAGGAGAGTTGCTTCGGCGATCGGAACAAGGATCGGAAGTATCCTTTATCTCCCGATCTGTGCCGGGGGAGCCCAACAAGAGCCCCTCCAGACCAGCAGCGGGCGTCCCTCGAGCGGACGGTGGGGCATTGTGCTCGGCAGACGGCACGAGTACCCCGCCTGGGGCGCACGTCGTGGCGCGTGGGACGGGAAGCCCGGCTGCCTATCGTGTTGAGATCGAAGATGCAGTCTCCTAGGTGTTCGACGAGGTTTATTCCGACAGTCCTGAGGCTGGGGTGGCAGGTCACGGTGCATTTGGCGCCTGTCACGTCGGCTCTGTTGAAGGAGGTGGGGAGGTCCTCGTACTGTCTGACACGCCCGAGCGGCTGGCAACGGCCCGGAGCCGACGAAATACGATTCCCGACGCAGTCGACGTAGGATATCAAGAAGGGAGGAGGGGGAAGGAACAGCAAAGGGAGAGGACGGGGTGACGGTGGGCTGGGAAAAGGACCAGCGCTGCAGCTGGCGCCCAAGGGGGACGCCAGTCGAGCAAGCTCGCGGCCGCCGCCGCTGCGAGGGCCCTGGGGGCGCTGTCCGCCGCGAGGGCGCTGGGGGTGCCCCCCGCTGAGGAGGCCGACGACTCCGGCGCGGGCATCAAGGCGCGCGGGCGCCGCCCGAGGCCCAGGCCTCCCCTGATCGGGGAGCAGGCAATGGCACAAAGGTGCACTTTCGGGGTCCGCGCGGATTTTTCGCATCTGCGCTGGAACCCCCTGGCGGCGCCTCGGGCGCCGTCCCTGGCGCGCTCTGCGCGCTAGGAAGGGGGGTCCAGGGCCGATCCCAGAAATCCGCGCGGACCCCCGAAAGCTTTCTGCTTCACGGAGCGCGTTCTACTACTCTCAAAGCGCCGACTCGCAAACGTCAGCAAAAAACAAAAGCATGTCTTTCTCTACGCAGTGACTCGTAAACCCCTCGCGGCGGATCCGTGCCATTTACGAGTAGCTACTTTGCGAGTGCTGGAAGGCCATTATCCAATGCTTCTGCCGCTGCTTGCTCCCCAACCCGTGCCTCGAACGGATCGAGGCGGCCGGCCTGTGGCCATGCCTTGGCCTCTGGGGGCCAGCGCTGGGCTTCGGGGGGGCCGTCGAGCATCGGCTCGAGGCGGGAGGCTGGGCCGGCCGGAACGGGCCGCGAGGAATCGTGGGTTTCTCAGGCATCCCTTGAGTGGTGGGCTTGTTTTCCATTGCCGCCACCATAAGTAGGATTAAGTCGGGCATGTCCCTCTACAGAGGGAATACTCAAAAATAGTCAGAAATTATCCCAGTGCGACCCTACCTAGGAGTTGGAGCCCCTAGGAAAGCAGCATTAGTAGTAATAGTAAGCTAAGCTAAAGCTAAGCTAAAACTAAGTCAAAGTTAAGATAAAGCTAAGTTAAAGCTAAGTTAAAGCTAATATACAGCTAAGCTAAAGCTACGCTAACACTAAGCTAACGCTAACCTAAATATAAGATACAGCTAAGCTAAGTCTAAGCTAAAGTTAAGCTAACGCTAAGCTGCAGGTAAGCTAAATCTAAGCTGCAGGTAAGCTAAAGCTAAGATAACGCTAAGCTAAAGCTAAGCTACCGCTAAGCTCAAGCTAAGCTACATCTAAGCTACAGCTAAGCTAAAGCTAAGCTAATGCTAAGCTAAATCTACGCTAACGCTAAGCTAAATCTAAGCTAACGCTAAGCTAAAGCTAAGCTAACTATAAGCTAAAGCTAAGATGAAGCTAAGCTAAATCTAAGCTGAAGCTAAGCTGAAGCGAAGCTAAGCGAATCTAAGCTAAGGTAAGCTAAGCTACAGCTAAGCGGAGCTAAGATGAAACCAAGCTAAGCTAAGCTAAGCTAAGATGAGATAAGCAACGGTCAGCTAAGGGGACGTACCTGGGGGAACCGCGGGGCGGGGACTGGGGGAACCGCCCGGGGCGTTTTCCACTGCCCGCCCCTTTAAGCAAACCAAGTAAGAACCCTCTAGGCAGAGCCTAGGTAGGGAAATAGTCTTGGGACTATTTTTTAGTATTTTTGATAATTTGTGAATATGTTTAGATTGTTTTACTTTTCGTCGAACATCCCCCTGTAGGGGGACACGCCCGACTTAAAAGCAGGAGGGGGAGGGGGTCCTCCATCACTGAGATCTGGACGTTGCAGGCGGTTTCGCACCCGGCGTTGTCGCTCTGCGTTGGGCCCTGGGAGCAGCACAGATCGGTCCAGGCCGAAAAATAGCAGCAGCCAGACGGAGGCCCAGGGCCCTGGCCGTGATGTTTCGCGATGTTGCAGCTTTTCGGTCCGTCGGACTGGCTTTCTCTGGCGAGACCCCGCGCGTAGTAGGCGAACCCCCTGGGCTGGCTGTCTCTGGCTTTGGCCGTGGCTCGGTCGACCCCAGCCACGTGAGAGTCCGTGCTTGTTTTGTGTTCAGGTGGGATCCAGTGCTGCACTTCCTCTCGTCGGCGAGCGATGGGGGGAAGTGAGAAGGAGAAGGCCTTCTCCGAAGGCGGCGGGATTCTCAGCAGCCCTCGCGCCTTCCGAGAAGTCTTTGTCCGTCTTCGGGGAAGGTTTAGACAACTCCTCAGAAGGCCGGGGGACTTCCGAGCCTTCCGAGAGGCCCCGCCCCTTCTCGCTTCCCCCCCTCAGAGGGGCGGACGAGGAGGAGGAGGAGGAGGAGGAGGAGGAGGAGGAGGAGGAGGAGGAGGAGGAGGAGGGGAGGGGGGAGGAGGAGGAGGAGGAGGAGGAGGAGGAGGAGGAGGAGGAGGAGGAGGGAGGAGGAGGAGGAGGAGGAGGGGGAGGGGCAGGAGGAGGGAGGAGGAGGAGGAGGAGGAGGAGAGGACGAGGGGGACGAGGAGGAGGATCGCTCGCCGCCAATCCTCGTCGGACCCCACGGCAGTGAGGGAGAGGGCCGCGAGAGGCCCGGGGACCGAGGCGCGGGCAAGGCTCGGAGCGCCCGCCGGCCAGGAGCTGGCCCTGGCCCAGGGTGGCCCCAGCAGCTTCAAGTCGGGCCCGGCCCTCTACAGTCGGGGGTGGACAGAACCCCCAATAGTGACACGTCGATTAGTGAATTGTCCGTTTTCGGTTCTCGAGATGGCGCCGTGGCCGTTATTTTCCAGGCTTGCGCCCGCCAGGTTTGGGCCTCAGGTCGTTTTCACTAAACCACGTTTTACTAAAGGGGGGTCTGTCCATCCCCGATACAGGCTTGGCATCGCTCGGACGTGTGCCTTTTCCCTTCGGCGAGGACCATCGAGGAGCATCCTTGATCATTTGGCGAAAAAGCCACGCACGAAACCGACAAAAAGCACAGGTAATGGACGTCCGAGCGATGGCCAGCAGGAGGAAGATCCAAAAGTAGCCAGAAAATAGTCTGGGGACGAGCTGTTTCACTATGTGTTGGCTGTTGTCGAATCTGTGTTTGGCAATTTGTCATTGTCCTTCAAGGTCTGCCTGTTGGAGGACAGGCCCGACCTGACCCTCGCTTCTCCAGGGATGTCTGGATGGCCTCGGGCGCACTCTTCCACGAGGCCCGGAGAGGGCTCAGGGGAGGGGTTGGAACGTGGCTGAGGTCAACATGCAGATCCACCTCGTTCCCCCCCCCCTCTCCCAGAATGGAGGAGGGCAGTCGGAGGAGGAGGGGGGAAGGGAGGAGGTTCCTGCAGAGTGCGCGCGAAGCAGAGGGGGGGGGGTGCATCTCGGGCGCAAGGGCCACCTCTTTGGCAGCCTCCGGCAAGGTGTGCGTCCGCGTGCGGCCCTTCATCAGCGAGGACCGCCGGCCGGGGGGATGCGAAGTCCCTGAAGACGGGACGGGGTGGGCACGAGCGGGCATCATAGCCGGCTCAAAATTAAAAGAGGCATCATAGCCTCATCAGTTTTGATCCACTCAGAGATCCACTGCAATTGCTTTCCATTGAATCCATGTCCATTGAATTCATTCCATTGAATTCATTCCATCAGCGAGGACCGCCTGCCGGAGCCTGGCGCCCCAGACCCCCCACCTCGCGCAGGGGCAACTTACCAGTTTGAATCATATCCCTATCGCTATGTTTGACATCACCTCACCTCGATGCCGATCTTAAGGATTCCCTCGGTTTCTGAGGGCCTATCCCCAAGATTGTCCTCGCTTTTTGCTCGCCCATCTTTGGGACAGGGATAAGTTCGAGGCTGGTTAGCAACGTCGGCTCCGGGGCGGGACATCGACCCCCAATCGCCCCTGGATCGGCGGGAAGTGGCCCGATGGCCCACCCCGCCCAGCACCGCGCGAATTCGATGTCGGGCGCCTCTCGCCGATCTATCAGCGATGCAGCGCCGATTCCAGCTCGACGTTTCCCACCCTGAGCTGATGATGATACTGATGATGATGATGATGATGATGATGATGATGATGCTGATGCTGATGCTGATGCTGATGCTGATGCTGATGCTGCTGCTGCTGATGCTGATGCTGATGCTGATGCTGATGATGATGCTGATGCTGATGCTGATTCTGATGCTGAACATGATGACGACGACGATGACGATCCTCTTATGATCATCATCATCATCATCCTCGTCGTCGCCGCCATCATCATCATCATCATCATCATCATAATCATCATCATCACTATCATCATCATTCTTATTCTTATCATCACCACCATCATCATCCTGGACACTCCTGATGTTTCATCTCACTCGCGCCGTGATGAGTTTGCGACGGACGGTTGGGGGTGGTGGTCATTTTCAGCCTCCAGGGGTCCTCGCTCTGTGACCGCGTGCGGGCCCCTACCCCTGCGCGTCCAATCGAATAACCCACGGTGGTTCACTCGTCCTGTCGTCCTGCGATGTTTGGAACCCTGGCCAGCTTTTCTTCTCCAAAAAAATCTGACATGCAGGAATAGAGTTCACATGTGGTTGCATGACGCGGGATGGAAGGTGAGCCCCCCGGGAAAGAGATCGATACTTCCATGGGGTCGACGTGACGAAGAGATGCCGACGGGTGGGGTCTGGGACCAAGTCCTCTCAGGGACCAGGAAGAGATGATGATGAAGATACGGTATGCGGGGGGAGGTTGCAACTCATGTGAGCTCATTATCAACTGTTGTTGTGGCTGGCGTGCAGCGGTGTTGCAATATGGGTTGGTTGCGGTGGTCGAGGTCGATCATGAGCTCCTCGATCTCCGCATTCCAGACTCAACGCATCCCGCCGAAGGAGATCGAGGGCGACCGCAGCGGTGGCAAGACCGAGTGTTGCATCGAAATGCCGACCGAGACCACCACCGTTATGAGGCGAGAGGACGAGGAGCGAACGTTCGAGTTCGATCGCTGCTACTGGTCGCACAGCAGGGACCACCACCTGCACGCCACCCAGAGGACCCTCCAGGAAGAGCTCGGGGAGACGATGCTGACGCACGCCGTTAGGGGCTTCAACAACTGCATCTTTGCGTACGGGCAGACTGGTAGCGGCAAGAGCTACAGCGTGCTGGGTGGCCCAGGCGAGGACCGGGGCTTGCTGCCTCGCATCGTCGAGGGCCTCTTCAGGAGGTTCGCAGAGATGCCAGAGGATGTGAAGAAGAAAACGCTAGTGAGCTTCATGGAGATTTATAACGAAGAGATCCATGACCTGCTCTGCGACAGAGGGGGAGGCCGCGGGACGTCCAAGGCATGCCAGAAGCTAGAAGTGCGCTTGCATCCCACACTCGGATTGACGATCCCAGGCCTGAAGGAGAGTCCCGTAGATAGTTGCGAGAGCGTCATGCAGCTTGTCAGCATGGGGAAGGACGCTCGTATGACGAGCGCCACGGCAATGAACGTGTCAAGCAGTAGGAGCCATTGTATTTTCACTTTCAAGACAAGCTTGGTGGAGCCTGATGGCACCACGAAGATGTCACAGACACACTTGGTGGATTTGGCAGGTTCAGAGCGGGTCAGCCGCACCAAGGCCGAAGGCGATCGTCTGAAGGAGGGCGCCGCAATCAACAAGGCTCTCTCGACTTTGGCTAGGGTCATCTCAGAGCTTGCCAGAAGTGGTAAGAATAGAGGCAAGCCGCCTTTCCGGGACTCGAAGCTTACCCACGTCCTCAAGGAGTCTTTGTGCGGGAACTCCAAGACTGTGATGATGGCAGCCATATCCCCGAGCGCAGTCGACTTCGATGAGACGCTCTCCACAATGAAGTTCTGCCAGCAGGTAAAGCTGGTGCAGACGAAGGCAGTGGCCAACACCACCAACGAGAACGGCATCGAGGCGATGCTCCGGCGCGAGGCCGAAGATCTTCGCGCCAGGCTGGCCGCTGCCGAGGCCCATGCTGCGAATCCGAGCGCCGTAACCCTTGGTGGCCAATCAGCGGCCTCGGCTGGTTTGGAGTCGATTGCTAAGGAACATTGTGCTGGGAGGATGAGCCTCCTCAAGCAGAGGCTGGAACAGGCAGAACAGCTGTCCAAGTTCTACGGCGACGGCTACGACAAGTGGATGGCAGAGGAGCAGCTCAGAATCAAGAGGCGCGCGAGCGTCAGGCAGACGATGCTCGATTCGGGGCAGCTCGAGCAGCTCCGGCAGTTCGCGGAGATGCACGAGCGCGGGACGGACGGCGCCAGCTCGGCCGCGGACGACTCGGGCTCCGACGACGACTGCGAGCCTGGCCCCCCGAGGAGCGAGTACGTGCTCTGCCGCTGCCTCACGAAGCCCGCTGTCGCCGCGGGCCATCTGACCGCCCCTGGCCCGCCCCCAGGTCAGGGGCAACGTTGCGGGGGGATCGGCTCGGGAGGGGACGCAGCGACTCCTAGTCGCCCACTCATCGAATAGCCCGCCTCGCCCATGACCGTGCGGATTAGCTATCGGGTGCCCATCGCCGATCTATCGGCGGTGTATCGCCGATCACAGGTCGATGCCCCCCCCCGAGCCCGTCCCACCCCCCCCCCGTAAAGTTGCCCCTAACCTTAAGTCGGGCCTGTCCCTCTACGAGGGAAAAATCCGAAAACAGTCAGAAATAGTTAGGGGGCGATTTGCTGAATATTTGTTTTAACTATTTTTGGATCTGTTTGACTCTTTCGCATTTTTCGTCGCAAATCGGCCTGTCGGAGGACACGCCCGACCCAACCCTAACCAGGCCACCTAGACGACGACACGAGCACGATCTTGGTCGCTGGCCCCATCGCGCGCGAGCTGCAGTCCGCGCTGGCGCACGGGAGCGGGGGCCTCGACCCCTGGGGTGCGCGGGACCCGCAGAAGCTGATCGACCGCACCGCGGAGCAGAAGACCGAGCTGTTGGCCAGGTGGGCGAGGAGAGGACACCCCCGAGATCCTGGCGCTGCAACTTTTTCACAGCGGGCGTTCTCGCTCCCTGTCGGGCCCCGGAACCCTCACAGATCGGTCCGGCTCGAAACATGACGCAGAGAGATGGGGTCCGGCGCCCCGGTTGTGATTTTGGCGATGTTATAGTTTTTTGCAACGTCGGATCTCAGGGACGGGGTGGACTGCGCCGACATTCGCGCGCAAGCTTCCCGCACAGTGCTGCGCGGAAAGTGCCCTCTTCTCCGCGCAAAGTGCCTCGCCGGCGGCCCACAGAAGCCGCGGCGTAAGGTCGCAATGCCTTCTCGAGTGAGTCCCGTTTAGTTTCGTCGCTCAGGTGCTGGAGCGAGTGCGTTGAAGCCGAGAGCGCGGTCTCACGCCTGTCCAAGGAAGAGGCGCCCAAGTTGCTGCTCATCCCTCACGTTGCCGTGCGGCCAGATGAGATCGACCTTACCTGTGAGGTGATTGTATCTGCAGAGTACTGCGACGACGGCATTGCCATCAGCGAGTGGTTCAAGCCAAGAGAGTTGGAGCAGATCACGAAGTGGCTTCGGGACTCATTGCATTCCGCTGGCCTGGAAGAGGGCGATCACGGCACGGACGACAACGCATGGGAGACCGCCGTGTCCACAGTGCTTGAGCGTCCCACGCGCGGTGGCGTCAAGAAGATGCAGTCGCAGCTGTCCATGGCGCCTCGACTGTCGACCGTCAATATGCTCACCCAGGAGATAGAGGCGGAGCGCAGGCAACTCACCGAGGCCAAGCTCGAGGCTGCCACCACCGAGCAGCTCCGGCGGGAGCTGGCGCAGCAGCGGGCAGCGAACGACCGGATGGAGAGCCAGGCCTCCGAGGCCGTCAGAGCCCACCTGAGCCTCGTGTCCGAGGTGTCGGAGGAGCTGCAGGGAGCGCGCAGGAGGGCGCAGCAGCTGCAGGTCACGAGCGAGAACCAGAGGCCGAAGGGAGAACCGCAGCGCATGAGCAGCTCCGCTCGGAGTTCTTTGGCATCGGCGCTGGGCCCACCTCACTGGCGCGCCAGGGGCAGCGCCAGAGGCGGTGCCAGGGGGCCCCAGCGCCGGTCCAAGAATTTTGAGTGGAGCCCCGAAGGTGAAGGTTTATGCTTACGCCGTCCCGTGATGGCCGACGTTGCGAAACATTGTAACATCGCGCAAAATCACGACCAGAGCCCTTGACTCCATCTTTATGCTGCGCTTCTCGAGCCAGATCGACCTGTGATGGCCTGGGGCCCGAAACAATACGACGTCGCCCGTGTGAGCAACTATCCCAGCGAAGGACCCAACTATATGCACTTGCGAGTATCGCGGCGCAGGTGATCTGAAGGAGGGGGCCAGCAAAAGATCGGCTGCGTGGACGGGCATTGGCGAGCGGGGAGACTTCCTGGTTTCGTGCGAGCCCCGGGCGCCGCCGTTTCGTGCCCACTTCCTCGCCAGCTCTTCCTCCCCTCTGTTTGTTGCGTTCCTGCCCGCCTGGCCCACGAGGGCCCGAGCCCCAGGCGCCGCCCCGTTTCGTGTCCCTTTGGTCCCTTCATTTCTCTTTACTCTTTGTCTCTCCGCTATGGCGCGGTCTTGGGCAGAGCGCTGCGCGGAGCCCCCGCGACGCGCGCCGGTCACCCGAACAGAGTCCCGGCGACGCGCGCGGGTCGTCCGTGGCACGGGGCCAACAAAAACCGGCGGGTGACAACGGGTGAGGCGCTAGGCAGAGCGCGTGGGAGTCGGGCACATCTTGGGAGCAGGGCGCAGAGGCGTCCCCGAGACGCGCGCTGGTCGCCCCGAGAGAATCCCAGCGACGCGCGAGGGCCGTCAGCGGCGCGAGGCCAAACAAGTGGACAGTTGACAGAAGGCGAGGCAAGGGCGGGCCACGATGCAGGCACAAACCGTGTGAGGGGTGTGCCGACATGGCCAGGGAACCGTCTGTGGGCCCTGCCACGGGAGGGCCTTTGATAGAGTCCCCTCCTGGGGAAACGAAACGTGTGAAGGGTGTGTCGACATGGACATGCGGCGAGCGGGGGGGCCGTATGTGGACCTTGCCACTGGAGGGGCCTTGGGTGAAGCTCCCTCTGGGGGAACGAAACGTGTGATGGGTGTGCCTGCATGGACATGTGGCGGGCGGGGGGCCGTATCTGGACCCTGCCACTGGGACCTTCGGCGGAGCTATGCGGCCACGAAGCGCGTCAGGGGTGTGCTGGAAAGGACATGCGGTGGGCGGGGGGCCGCATGTGGACCCTGTCTTTGGGGCTTTTGGTAGAGCTGTCTACGGGGCCACGAAGCGTGCGAGGGGGTCGCCGACATGGACATGCTGTGGGCAGGAGACGCACGTGGACCCTGCCATCGGGGCCTTCGGGGTGGAGATCCTTGCAATGCCACCAAGCGGGTGAAGGGTGTGACGACATGGGCGGGGAGCCGCATGTGGACCCACGGGGCGTGTGCGGGGTGCACCGAAATCGACATGCGGCGGGCGGGGAGCCGCATGTGGATCCTGCAGCTCTTGGCATCGCTCGGACGTGTGCATGTTTCCTTCGGCGAGGACCATCGAGGAGCATCCTTGATCACTTGGCGAAAAAATCACGCACGAAACCGAAAAAAAAGGGAATGGACGTCCAAGCGATGGCCAGAAGCTGGGGTCTTTGGCGGAAGTCTTTATGAGGCCGCAAAGGGTGCGAGTGGTGTGCCGACATCGGCATGCGGTGGTCGGAATCGCATGTGGACCCTGCCACCTGGGCCTTCGGTTGAGATACGTACTGGGCCACGAGACGTGTAAGGGGTGCGCCGCAGTTGGTATGCTGTGGGCGAGGGTCCACATGTTGACCCTGCCACTGGGAGGTCTTGGGTTGGGTTCCCTATGGGGCAGCGAAACGCGTGAGGGGTTTTCCGACATGGATACGGTGAGGGCGGGGAGCCGCATGTGGACTCTACCATTAAGGCCTCCGGTGGAGTGCCCTATGGGGCCACGGTGCGTGTGAGTGGTGTGTCGACATGGGCACGCAGTGGGCGGGGGGGGGCCGCACCTGGACCCTGCCACTGGGGCCCTCGGTGGGGTTCCTTACTGGGGGAACGAAGCGTGTAAGAGGTGTACTGACATGGTTGACATACGGAGGGTAGAACCAGGGATGGGATCAGAGAGGCTTGGAAAGAGGAGTTTGGAGTGACTAGCGCGGAGCGCTGACTGTTCAGAACGACGAACCAACACCACAAGATGGTTGGGAACACGTGTTAGTGTGTTTTGCGGTTGTGCGCCGTTCGCCTTGTTTTGCGCTTGTGGCGGCGAACCCAGGGGGGAAGTAAGAGAAGGGCGTGAATTCTTGAAGGCGGCAGGGCTTCTCAGAAGCCTCGCGCCTTCTGGGAAATCAGGAGGCCAGAGGCCCCCCGAGCATTCTGAGAAGGCCCGCCCTGCGCTGGTTTTTGTTCACGCTGTGTTTGTTGATCCCGTCATTCATGTTTCGTTTCTGCGTCAACCAACACGTTATAACACAACGACACCGCGGAATGGGAACGTCCGGCGGGCGGCCTTGTGATACCTGGCAGCGTATGTGAAACAAAGGTATCGAAAACGGGAGGTCAACGACCAGGTGGGTTACGTGCCGATGCAGGGCATAAGAACGAAACAGAGACGGCGCCCACAGCGGAAAGGAAACGCAATCCATGGCCAATGCACGATTTGAGTTCTTCCGGCTTCCAGATCCTGGGTTCTTTATCCGATGTTTCTTTCCTGATCCAATGCCCTCACCGTATGGGAGGCTCCCACGAGTTGCCACCGAACTCTAAGGGGGCTGCACCCCCTGCATTTTTCCATCCGCCGAAGCAACAACACACACCCATACCCATAGGGGGGTCGGAGAGGGCCATGGGTGCGTGTCGTCGGATGGGGGTCCCCGCTCGAACGGGAGCGTCCCCCAGGGTCCGACAGCCCGCATCCATACCCATAGCCAGTCCTCCTCCCAACGACCTCCACATGGTATGGGTGTGTGATGCTCGTTCGTACAAACCGGTGCGGAATCCCTCGTGCCTTGCCGCACGGGTATAGCCCCCTTGAGGGGAAGCGGATTTGCCCCTGGACGGGCTCTCTTTTTTTTGGGGGGGGGGGAACCGAGGGACCGCCGCCTCCTCGCATCGATGGCTTCCGTTACCAGCGAAAAGGCAGTCCGCAGCCTTGGCCTCCTCAGGAGGAAGGGGTGAGGAGGAGGAGGAGGAGGAGGAGGAGGAGGAGGAGGAGGAGGAGGGAGAACAACAAAAAATGGGCTCGCCGCCGACGAGAGGGGCGGGCTGGCGCTGCAGCGGAAGCAGCTCGACGCCGCCCAGCGCGAGGCCGCCGAGGCCGCCGAGGTTGCCGAGGGCCTGTGCGCCCGGGTCGAGGCCTTGCACCTGGAGCTGCGCGGGGCGGAGCACCGGCTGGCCACGCGCACAAGGGGGTAGGGGGAGGGGGGAAGGCTTTTTAGAAGCACCCCTGTTTCTTAGAAGGCGCGGGCCTTCTTTGTAGATGTAAGGCCGGCGCCTTCTAAGAAGCAGCCCCCTTCTAAGAAGCCTTCCCCCTCCCCCTACCCCCTAATGCGCGCCGCCAACACAGGCTGGCCGAAGGCCAGCGCGGCTTGGAGGATCGGTACGATCGAAGTAGGTGCCCAAACGTGATCGCGTCGTAACAAAAATCAGGACGGCAAGTTTTTCAGCATTTTCGGCCCTTGGGGGCCCCCGCCGGGCCTCGTGACCGACAAAAATTGACTCAGGACCAAACCTCCCACATGGAGTCGGAGCAGGGGTCGGAGGACCGCGCCGCATCGCCGATGTATCGCCGATGCGGCTCGATGTGCAAACCTATTTCCTTCACGTCAACGTCGCCGATGCATCGCCGACGTCGACGATGCATCGCCGGTGCATCGCCGATGTATCGCCGATGCATCGCTGATGTATCGCCGATGTATCGGCGATACGGCGCGATCCTCCGACCCGATCTACTCCGACCCGATCTAGGAGGCCTCTAATAATTCTTGGCGGGGGGATTACCTCGCACTCGTGCGCGGCAAAGCAATTCTGCGAAGGCACAATTAGAACCGCACCCTCAACGACCACCCCGTTTACAAACACCCCTTTTGCAGGGGCCTGGAAGAGTGGGTGCGAAGACCGACTGCAAGTCTTGCTTATTTTCAGCAGGGCTCGCCGTCGACGTCCTCGCGGATGTTGCCCATTTCGAGCAGAAGGCCAGCCGACCAGCCGCGACCGCTCCGCGGGCGGTGCTGGGCCACATCTGGTGCGTCGGGCGAAGTCCTCGAGGCCTCCCGACTGGCGTCTGGCTCGGAGCCGCCTGGGGGCCTGCGGTGGTCCAGCCCTGGCGTTAAGTTGGGCCTGTCCGTCTACACGGGGAATATCCAAAAATAGTCAAACAAAAACAAGTTTGGGGACTATATTTTGAGTATTGTTGGGCATCTTTGGGATATTGTTTGAAACTTGTTTTGTTCGTCCAGAATCCCCCTGTAGGGGGACAGGCCCGACCTAACCCTGGCGCTGGCCAGCAGGAAGAGGGGGGGGGGGGGGGCGAGGCTCGGGGCCCTGGGTTCGGGTCCTCTGGGGGCCATTTTCGGCCCCGTGGCCGTCACAAACCGATCTGGGTTATGATGTTCCAACCCACTTTAGCCCGGATCGCCAGAGCAAAGTTCGAGCACCAAGCAAGTACCGAAACGTTCGGGTCTTCACGTGTCGGGCCCTGGGAGGCGCTACTCGTTCGACACGGTTTCGATACTCCTCTGGGTGCGAAATTGTTTCTGGGATGTGGTCCTTACGTGCGATGGGAGCAGCGTAAGAGTTGAGGTGAAAACCTGCTCCCGATGAACCTGGGAGAGGTCTGGGGATTGATTTTGAATTGATTTGGCTTCCACCCCCCTCCTGACCGATGCTCTAGGCCCCAAACCACTTCAGACCCCCCAGTAGATGTGGTCGAAGGACCGTTCCGCATCGCCGCATCGCCGAGGCATCGGCGATGCGGCTCGATACGAAGCCCGAGTTGCTTTACGTCGACGTCGCCGATGCGTCGAGGGCCGACGTCGACGCTGATGTTAAAGCGCTGGGGTCGCTTTTTCCCTGTTTTCCGATCATCCTTTTTCGGCCAACCAAAACGGGAATACGAAATGCAGCACGCACCAGAAAAAAAGACGACAGTATGAAACGCAACCGAACCGACCCCCAGCGTCGATCTTGAAGACTTCAAGAAAACAACGCTTTTGAACACCATCTAGCCTCGAGGACGCGCGGGAGCTGCGCGCGCGTCTGGGCGACGCGGAGGGCCGGCTGGCCTTCGCGGAGACACAGGCCGGGAGACAGAAGACTCGAGCCCGCTGGAGCTCGGGTCTGCCGACGTATCTTGACGGTCCATCGCGGATTTTGACGGTCCAATTGTCGTGGCATGTTTGCAGCGATCGTTTCGACGCCTCCGACTCGATTCGATTCGATTTCGATCGATTCCGATTCCAATTCGACTTCGGGATCCGATTTGGGTTTAACTTTTTCCAACGCAGGCCTTACTAGCCTGCCGATTTTCACCGATTCGAGTTTTCCCGATTGAGCTGCCGATTTCCGCTGATCCGATTCATTTCGATCGCCGATCCGACTCATCGATGACTGTGTTCTCCTGTGTTGCAGCGGGGGCTCGCGTCAAATCTCAGGCTGGGTCTCGGCATCTGCCTGACGGCCCCGTCAGGCAGGCCCGAGCCCCCCGAACCCGAGGCTTCCGTCTCCCCGAGCAGGTCGGGGAGGCGGACCGGCTGCGCGCCGAGTGCCAGGATCGAGGAGTCAAAACAATGCTATCGGCATACAGCTTCGGAGGTCCGCACGGATTCCCGCCGAAGGTTTATGTTGATGCTATTGGTTGTCCCTCGACAGGATGATGGGCCCATTTTCCACCGCCACTACCATAGGTAGGAAGAGGAGGAGGAGGAGGAGGAGGAGGAGGAGGAGGAGGAGGACCTCCTCATCCTTCCTTTTCCTCCTGTCCTACATTATATGGTAGTGGTGGTTGAAGATTTGCCCATCACAGGAGGCCCAGGGGCGGCTGCGCATCCTGCAGGGCCGGTGCGACGAGGCCCAGAGGCCCGCGGGGCCCTGTGTAGACAGGAACGTCGGGCATCTGGGGCGGTCCCCCCTCCAGGCGGAGGTGTGCACAGCGGTGGCCCGAGCTCTTCTTCCCATCCGTGCCTCCTCCTCCTTCCTCCTCCTCCTCCGTGCCCCACCCTTCCCCTCCCGTGATCTGACAGCTATCCCGCTCAGGCTGGAGGGGGATGAGGAGGTTCGATGCAATTGCAAACATGGGGGCCTTGTATCATGTCCTCGTGACTCCTTGTTCAGAGTGCATCATCAGCGTGCTCTAGGGTCTGGCAATCGATAGACAAGCGTCGGTTTAGCGTCGACTCGGCGTCGGCTAGCGTCGGCTAGCGTCGATCAGCGGCGGCGAGCGTCGATTCGCAAGAGCCAGCAAAATGGCATGGGAGGCTCCCGTGAGTTGCCACCGAAGGGAATGAGGGGCAGGAGGGGCAGGAGGGGCTTGCAGGGAGCGAGCGGAGGAGGAGGAGGAGGAGGAGGAAGAGGAAGAACAGGAAAAGTAGGAGGGGCAGGGGGGGAGGAAGGCGTTGCCCTGGCCTGTCCGAGGCTGCGCGACGGGCTGGACAGGGCGCAGGCGCAGCTGGCGGAGCTGGCTAACCAGCCAGCCCCGCAGGGCGGAGGCGCCAGGCTGGAGCAGCGGCTCCGGGCGGAGCTCGGCGCCGCCGAGTCCAGGCTTCGGCGGCGAGATCCGAAGCCTATATCACTATCACACGATCGCGAACATCGGAGGAGGAGGAGGAGGAGGAGGAGGAGGAGGAGGATCAGGCGATCGCAAGCATGGTCAAGGGGGCGTGGATCAGCGACGGGTCCCGCTTCCATGGGAAATCGCGGATTTCCGCCGCCAGACGAGACGGCACTGGCCGCATTTTGGGGAGGGCACCTCCCCCGACCCATGGATTTGGCGACCGCGCGCCAACTCCATGGATCGCTAATCCATGTTTGCGCGCCCCCGAAACTACCCTCCCCGAGCATCGGGCAGGACCAGGACCAGGATAAATCCGTTCCAGGGCGTTCCGGAACGCTCTCAGAGCGTTCCGGACCGCTCTGAGAAGGCCGCGCCCGAGGCATCTTCCAGAGCCGCCGGATCTCAGAGATTCCCGACTTATCCTCACCCGATGTTATCTTCATCCTGGCTTCTTCTTAGACCAACGATTCAGGCAACTCGATGAGAGGCGGGGTTAGGGTTCGGAGTTGTCGTACGCGTGGCGGATCCCGAGCCTGCAGCCCATCGATTCAGGTGAATCGATGGTGGATGGGCGCGGGATTGGAAGTCGCCACCTGAGGAAGGCACAAACATACACTTCCGCCTCTCCGCACGGATTTCTCGGATCGGCGCCGGGCCCCCGTGGCTGCGCCTTCGGCGCCGCCCCTGCCGCGCTCCGCGCTTCATGGAGGGGGGCCCGGGCGCCGATCGAAGAAATCCGAAGGATGCTCATGCAGTTTCCAGTTCCCTCCGAGGCTCCAGCTCGAGGGCCAGCGAGCCACCGCCGCGGAGCAGCTGCGGTCCGCGCTGGCCGCGGCGACGGCCGAGCTGCGCGAGGAGCAGGGGAGGTCCTCGCAGGCGGGCGTGCTGGGCGCGGAGCTGGCCGCGATGCAGCGGAGCCTGCGGGAGCAGAGGAGGCGGGCCGAGGAGGGCGACCTCCTCCGCGGCGAGTTCCAGGCGGTGGAGCAGGAGCTGAGCTCGACGCGCGCGGCGGTGCGGGAGGCGTGCCGCGGACGGAGGGGGGCGCGGGGCCAGGAGCACGTCCACTGCATTTCGTTTTGTCGGTCCACGACTTGGCGGCACACGGCGGACCAAGCGCAGCGTATGTATGCATGCATGCATGCTTGCATGCATGCATGTATGTATACATGTTTATCTACATGTATATATATATATATATGTGTGTACGTATGTATCCGTAAGGGCTTCGTCCCCTGCCCGCGGCCCCCTCTCCTCTATCATAATGGGATTTCTCAGAGTCGCGTCGGGGCGTCTCGGCGCTGCCTTGGCGCATCTGGGAACACCATGCGGGGGCGGAAAGGGACCATCAGCGCATATTGAGACGTGGGCGTTATCGATGACGCCTACGGCGAATCACCGCCGCCCCTATGCCTTCTAGAATCGCCCATGTGGCCGAGCGTTGTGGCAAGAGCTCCGCCAAGCTATCGGATCATGTACCATAAGTTCCCCCAGTCGTCCGGGAAACCTTTCGGGAAATACTTGGGGGAGGATGCTGGGGAAGATCAGGAGGAGGCGGAGGAGGAGGAGGTGGAGGAGGAGGAGAAGGAGAAGGAGGAGGTGGCATCTTGGGAGCCTCTGGGGACACTCTTTGGACATCCTGGGAGCTTCCAAGGAGCTTCTTGGAGGCATCTTGGGGGCCTCCTTGGGCCTCTAGGGGGCCTTTGGGGGCTTCTCGGTGGTCTCTTTGGCAGTCTTGGTGGGCTCATGGCCAGTCTGACGCCGTCGGAAGCCGTCTTGGGGGCATCCGTGGGCCGATTTGGGACCCTCTTGGTGTGCTCCAGGGCCGTCTTGGAGGATGTCTTGGGTGTCTCGGAGGCCTCTTGGGCCGTCTTGGGGCCCTCTTGGGGCCGTCCTGGGGGCCTCTTGGGCCGTTCTGGGGCCATCCTGGAGGCCTCTTGGGCGATCTTGGGGCGATCTTTGGGTGCTCTTGGGCCGTCTCGGGCCGTCGATAGGCAGAAACGACACAACTGCGACAATCCTTCCACAACCGATAGGGAATCAATGATGTTGGCCTCTCGGGGCCTTGCTGGAGGCCCTCTTGGGGGCCTCGTGGGCCGTCTTGGGCCATCTTGGGGCCATCTTGGGCCGTCTTGGTGGGCTCCTGGCCCGTCTGACGCCGTCGGAAGCCGTTTTGGGAGCCTCTCTGTGCCGACTTGGGGCCCTCTTGAAATGCTCCAGGGCCGTCTTGGAGACTTCGCTGGGCGTCTTAGAGGCCTCTTTGGCCGTCTTTGGGCCCTATTGGGGTCGTCTTGGGGTCGTCTTGGGGGCCTATCGGGCCGTTGTGGGGCCATCTTGGAGGCCTCTTGAGCGATCTTGGGGCGATCTTCGGTGGCTCTTGGACGTTTCGGTCCGTGGGGAGGCCGAACAGAAGCAACTGCAAAATCTGTCAAAAGCCGGAGGACAATTCATAATTTCGGCCTCTTCGGGCCTTCCTGGAAGCCCTCTTGGAGGCCTCTTGGGCCATCTTAGAGCCATCTTGAGCCGTCTTGGTGGGCTCCTCTCCCGTCTGACGCCGTCCGAATCCGTCTTTGGGGCCTCTCTGGGCCGACTTCGAGCCCTCTTGCGGTGCTCCAGGGCAGTCTTGGAGGCTTCCTTGGGCGTCTCGGAGGCCTCTTGGGCCGTCTTCGCGCACTCTGGGGGTCGTGTGGGGGCCTCTTGGGCAGTCCAGAGGCCACCTTGGAGGCCTCTTGAGCGCTCTGGGGGCAATCTTAGGGGCATCTTGGGCCGTCTGGGGCCGTCGGAAGGCCGAAAAGGAGCCAATGCCAAAATCCTCCCAAAGGGAAATGAATGATTTTAGCTTCGTCGAGCCCTCCTGAACAGCCTCTTGGTTGCCTCTGGGGCCGTCTTGGAGGCCTCTCGGGGGCCACTGAGACCGTCTTCGACCGTCTTGGAGGCTTCCTGGCTGAACTTGGAGGCATCTTGGACTCTCTTTGGCAGTCTTGGAGGTCATGTTGGACCATGTTGAGCGGACTTGAGGACCATCGTAGCCGTCTTGGAGACCATCTTGAGCCATCTTGGAGCTGTTCGCAGCAGGAGAAACCTTTGCAACCATCTCTTGTGCACCCTTTCGGGTGGCCGGCGGGCTGGGCCAGAGCCCCAGGGGAGAGTTCTTTTGGACAAAGGACCAATACCAAAACCGAAAGAGTCTAGCACGCCAGGCACCCCTGTGGCAGGCCAACAGGAGGCGGCGGATCGAAGACGCCTACGGCGAATCACCGCCGCCCCCTGCCTTGTTGGAAGCGCCTATGTGGCCGAACGTTGAGGCCAGCCCTGCCAAGCTATCGGACCATGTGTTCCCCGAATCGGTTTGGAAAGCCTTCGGGGTCATCTTGAAGGTCATCTTGGCCGCCTGGAGGCCATTTTGACCCTTTCGGGCCTTCTTGGAAGACGTCTTGGAGGGCTCTTGGGCCGTCTTCGAGGCCATCGTGAGCGTCTTGGAAGCCTCTGCGGCCGTCTTGGGGGCCTCTTGGGGCCGTGTTGGGCCTCTTGGGCGATCTTTGGGGGCACTTGGGCCGTCTCGGGCCGTCGGAAGGCCGAAAAAAAGTAAATGCCACAGTCCTTCAAGAACTCAGTGGAAGTCAATGATTTGCCATTTTCGAGCCTTCCTGGAGGCCCTCTTGGAGGCTTCCTGGGCAGTCTTGGGCCATCTTGGTGCCATCTTCGGCCGTCTTGGTGGGCCCCTGGCCCGTCCGACGCCGTCGGAAGCCGTTTGGGGCGCCTCTCTGTGCCGACTTGGGGCCCTGTTGGAATGCTCCAGGGCCGTCCAGGAGGCCATCTTGGGCGTCTTATAAGCCTCCTGGGCCGTCTTGGGGGCCTCTTGGGACCGTCTCGGGGGCCTCTTGGGCCGTTCCGGGGCCATCATGAAGGCCTCTTGGGCGATCTTTGGGCGATCTTTGGGGCCTCTTGGGCCGCATCGAGCCGTCGGAAGGCCGAAACGAAGCAAATGTCAAAATCCTTCGAAAACCGAAGGCAAATCAGTGTTTTTGTTTTTTTTCTGGCCTGGAGGCCTCGTGGGCCATCTTGGTGGGCTCCTGCCCCGCCTGACGCCGTCGGAAGCCGTTTGGGGGGCCTTTCTGGGCCGACTTGGGGCCCTCTTGGGGTGCTCCAGGGCCGTCTTAGAGGCCATCATGGGCGTCTTGGAGGCCTCTTGGGTCGTCTTTGTGTCCTCTTTGGGGCCGTCTTGGGGGCCTCTTGGGCCGTTCTGGGGCATCTTGGAGTCGGCGTCGCCTCAGTTCCAACTAGGAGACGCCCTGGCACTGGATCTTCATCGACGACAACGCCGGGCTCCGTCTGGAACCGAAAGAGGTGGAGGTCACGGAGCCGCAGACGAAGGCGGATGGGGCCGGGGCGAAGCGGGCCGTCGCGGCCGCGGGTCTGGCGGTCCACAAGGAGGACTTCGGGGGGGGGCCTGGAGCGATCGCTGGGAGTCGCACTCGACGCGGATTCCAAGGTGGTTCAGGCGGCGGAGGAGAAGTTGCGCCCAGCGGTCTCGGCCGCGGAAGCGTTGCTGAAGCAGGGGGAGGCAGTCCTGACCGTGCTGGAGTCGCCAGGGGGGCTCTCTGGGCGTGGATCTACACTTGCGCTCGAGGCGCCATGGGCGCGCCTCGTCGCGCGCGCCGCTGGATAGTGGAATTTCGAGGCCAAAGCGAAGCACCTCTCTGGAGCGAAATGCTCGACGAGAGCTTTGTGGTTGTCTCGCTCGCGGCGTGCTGCAGCGCGCGCCTGGGCTCGGGGCGGCGCGAGCGCGCGTTCGCGGCGGGCGCCAGCTTCCCGGGTTTCGTCGTCGCGGCGCGCCAGGCGGAGGTCGACGTGGGGGCACTGCGCGGGGAGGGGCGCGGGCGAGGATGGCCGACGAGCGCGCCCGAGTCCTGTTCAGAAGTGGAGGGGCGGGAGATGGAGGCGGAAACCCCGGCGCACCGGCACTTCGCGAGGGAGCGGGGGGTGGGGCGGGCTCGCGGAGAGGCGCCCAGTTATGCGAGTTCTCCGCAGGTTCAGGGCGACTCTCAGGGGCGGTCGGACGTGCTCGCCCGAGCTGGGTTGGGCCGCGGGAGATCGACCTGGGCCCGAGATGCGACCTGGAGCGGCTTGCAAACTTGGGGCGTCCGTTCGGGGGCGTGGCTGCGAGGGCCCACCGGGTGGTCCATCAGGCTCCGCCGCGAGCGACCTGGTCCAGAGCGCGAGCACCTCGCCTCCGCGCCGCAGAGGATGCGCGGGGGGTCAGAAACCTCAACGCGAAGGACCAGGAGCGAGCACCTACCCGATGACGATCGCGGTGGAGGTTGTCGGGGATTGCCTGAAGCCAAGGGCCCAGTTCAGTCTGGAGAACCCCGCGAGCTCTCTCTGTCGGCGGTCCCCGCCGATCATGGAGGCCACGGAACGGGGGGGCGCCTGCGTGGCTGGCCTGGATTCATGCGAAATGCTCCCGGGAGGCGCGGAGGAAGCCTGCGTGGACGTTGACGAGCGTGGCGGAGCTTCGAGAGCTGGGGCGGGGTCGACCAGCCGGCGCTCGTGGACGGGGCGCCCGCGTCGGCGCCCGCGAGGCGGTGCGCCCAAGGGGGCCCCGGGCTACGAGAGCAAAGCGGGGTGGCGCTGGACGGAGATGGCTTGTTGCTACCCAGACGAGCTGCGCGGGGAGTGCGCAGGCGCCGCTGCGTCTCTCGGTCGGGAAGGACGCCCCCGACTCGATTGCGCACGTGGACCGCTGGCACTTGCCGGCTGCTGGGGCCTGGAACCGCGACGAGCCCCAGAACGTTCTCGAGCGCCGCGCAGTCGCCGCGGCGCAGTGGCCACGGCGCTTCGTTGGCTAGCCCAGCGCAGGGCGCGATCATCGCCGACAGCCTGGGTGCCATGGGATGCCTTACCAAGGGTCGTTCGTCGTCTTGGGCGCTGCTACAGCAGGCGCAGGCCAGAGCCACAATTCAGCTATTTCTGGGCATTCGGCCGAGGTTCCGTCGGGAGAGTGCAGAGTGCAACATTGCAGATGGGCCGTCGAGAGGCGCCCCGCTCGGGCCCGACCCCGACACGATCAAGAAGGAAACGTCCAACGCGGGGGGGTCTGCCCCAAGGTGCAAGGGCGCGTCTGCAGGGCAAGGCAAGGACCAACAACGAGGAGGACGGCGCTGGCGTCGCTGTCGTGTCTGACGACGCAGGTGGACGCAGGCCGGCAGGGCGAGCAAGGGCAACGGGCTCAGTGACTACATGCAGCAGGGGGCGACTCTCGAGGCTTTGCGGGATTGCCCGAGCCTTCGACTACGCTGGTCAGTCTCCGCAAGCGAGTTACTCGAGACTGAAACCCAGATGACGATCGCGAGTTCGCAGATCTGATAAAGCCCGTCAACTAGCTGCTGGCGCACAAGGTCACGGACCGCACGAACAAGATCTGCGCGGAGTGGGCCCATGAGCTGTTGGAAGAAGCTCGCCTCCACGGGGTGGCCTCCGAGCCCCTTGAGGAACGCGATCGCGCCCCGGCGGCCCACGTGCCGCGCGCGTGCAATTTGCTGAAAGGGTTGCCCCGCATCCACGGAAGGAACCTCTTGTCAGGTTTGTGCGTGTCTTCCAGAGCACAGGGGTGCGCTCCCCATGGCGTCGCGTGCCCTTTCGGCTTGGCAGAGGTGCAAGATGGCCCAAGAAGGTGGCAGTTTTTGTCGCGAGGCTGTCGGGCTCTTCACCGGTGACGTGCTGGGGCGAGGCGCCGTCGTAGCGGTCTGTGCGGTAGATTTGTCGAGCGATGCGTTCTGTCGAGAAAAAGATTGGGCGTCGCTCCGAGTTGAGTGCCCTGCCTCGGCGACGACCTGGCCATAGGGTTCGGTGGCCGACGCCGAGGTGAAGAGGCGAAGACGAGCTCGAACTAAAGGCTCAATGCAGGATCCCTGATCACAGCGGCTCTGGTCAGAGGGCTCGTGTCGGGAAGCGACGAGGAAGACCTGGTCTTCCCCGTCAGCGTCGCGGAGTACAGGAGGCAGTGGGCCATCAACCCGCCGAGGCTCGATTTGAGCCAATTCGGCACGCCGCGCAACATGCCGCGCGCCGCGGCTGGCGAGTTCGCGGCTAGAGGCGGCGCGCTGGATTTTGGGGCGCATGCCTTGCGCAATCCCACCAGGCCTTGAGGCGCATGCCTTGATTCGGTTATATGTGCGAGTGGCTCCTCCCCGTTGTGACCATTGGCGCGCGTCTTTCGAGAGGCGCCGGAATGGTTCAAACCCAAACACATGCGGCCATCACTGTCGCATCACACGCAGCGACCGTCGCGCAACGCACCAAAGGTCATTCATGCATAGGTTCGCACTTGCATGTTCTGCCTTCAGTAAGTGGCAGATCAATGAGGCCATGGGCTCGCCCATCTGGTCTTGGTTTAACCAGGATGTGTGTCTGCACAGGTGGTCCGTCGCAGGGCCACTCTTGCGCGTGGCCAATGAAGCAAGCCCCCCCCGCACTCACACACACACACACACACCCGCATCGTGATTTGTTTCACAGCGTGGCAGCCCAGAGGTCTAGACCTCTTCCTGGGAACAAGCTTTCCACCCCGAGCCAGTTCTTGACTGCCCCGGGGCCTGGCCAAGGCCCTCATGGGAAAGAGTTCAGGATGCCAGGGGCCCCGCGCAGGCGAACCGATTGTGGACCGGGACGACGACGGACAACGGGCGACGCTGCCGACGACGACCATGGCGGCGACGGCCACGACGACGACGACCTCCGCCAGACGGACCGGCTGCAGACGGAGGGGAGGAAGGCGGGGAGTTGAAAGGAAGGCGGGGAAAGCGGGGAGGAGCATTGTGGGTGGTCGGACCCCCGACGTCATGATTGATCTCGCCGTCGACCCCCGGAGGTCTCGACCCACCTTCTGGGATTGGGTTATCATCCTGCGTCGGTTTGGGACGGTCCTGGGGCCGGGCGAGGGCCCCGAGAGGCCGAACATGCAGCACACAACAACAGAACAACACAACACAACACACAAAATGAACGTCCGCCGTAAAGGGGGAAGGGAAAGTAGAAAATAGGTGGAGGAGGAGGATGAGGAAGAGTGTAAACCTGAGACGCATCAGCGATGTTGCAATATACCCTCCCCCCAAGTTCCCTTTTCTTCGGGCCCATGCGAGTTTGTTTTCGTTCCGGGATACGCTTCATTGGAAAACAAACGCCTAAGAATTTTCAATCGTGCCAAAACATCATTCCTGGGAATTGGTAGCGTCCAAAACCCGGAGAGCAAAGAGACACTCACTCTGGAAAGCTTTCCTGACGAGCTCTTGGAAGCTCTCCTGAAGCGCTTCTGAAGCGCTGCCAGGCACGCTTCCACGCGTGCCTGCACGCGGGCAGGCACGCGTGGACGCGTGCCGGAAGCGCCCCCGGACCAGCTGCGAGGTTTCACAGGTCGCTGCGACGAACGTGGAGCGCCGTGGAAGAGCTGCTGGCAGGCACCACCACCGTCCGGCTTGTAATCTAAAACCCTATAGCTCTCAGAGAGCTCTCCGGGAACTTCAGCGTCGCGAGTCAATATGGTTGTTGCGTCATGACAATTCTGGATCGTACTAGAACGCCGCCATTGGGACTATAACACCGCGGATGAATATGATTGGTGGGTGTTGACAATCCTAGATCTTGCTAAAAAACCCCGATCCTGGAATTTCGACCGTACGAATATTCGAAAACGTTGCGAGGTTTCAAAACAAACGAGCGCGGCGCGAAGGCGGGAGCCAACTTTGGAAAGCGAGCCGCCCCTCATCCGTGGAATTGGCACACACTTTCACAACGAATGGGCGCGGTGCTGAGGCGAGAGCCACATTTTGAAAACAACGGTCCTTCATCCGTGAAGTTCTTGCAATGTTTGAAACGAGTGTGCGCGGCGCTCAGGCGGTGGCCACACTTTGAAAATGTCCAGCCCTCCATCCGTGAATTGTTGCCTTGCGTGCAAGGCAAGAACCACATTTTGCAAACGGGAGGACGGGGTGGAGGAAGAGGAGGGGAAGGGGGTCTACGCAGGCGGACCGACTGCGGACCGAGCTGGGCCAGGCGCACCGCCAGCTGGGCGTCCTGCGGCAGGGCGCGGCGGAGGCGCGCGCTGCTGACGAAAGGGACGAGGAGGCGACGAGGAGGAAGGGGACGAGGACGAGGACGACGACGAGGACGAGAACGCGGACCGCGATGACGACGACGAGGAGGAGGACGAGGATGATGACGGGGACCACAATGACGCGGAGGCCGGCGACGAGGACGGTGATGAAGAGGATGAGGACCAGGACGACGAGGACGAGGACGACGACGAGAACCACGATGACGAGGAGGGGGACGACGACGAGGAAGGCAGCGAGGACATGGACGAGGACGAGACGAGGACGAGGAAAACTGGCGAGGGCGGCGACGACAGCGCCGACGACGGCCACGACGACGACGCTCCTGGATGGTCGATTCGCCGGAGTCCCCCCTTACTTTTCGGCCCCACGGGGCCGCTTCTGGGCCCTTGGGCGGTCAGAAATCGGTTAGAACCCTGGGGGTGGACCGGGGGGCTATGTACGATAGTTCTTCCACGACGACGGCGGTGGCCGCGACGGCGATGACGACAACCGCGACTTCTTCGATTCAGAGGTTCTTTGGCGCTTGTGGAGGCTGTCGTCGCTGCGGCCCGGGGCGGCTCGGAAGCTGACTTTGGGGTACATACACTGCGAGGGCTCTCGGGGCCAGTTTTGAGCGGCTGACCCAGCCACACGACAGAAACGCACAAGTTTCAAAGCAAATGTTCGGAATTGGTGAGAACAGGCCACAGAAATTCTGCAAGAACAGGCCATCGAAAGTGGCCATAACACACCAGGATTCGTATGAACACTGCCGGAATGCGCAGTGACAAACCACCAGCTGCTTCTGGTCCTGCTCCTACTGCTGCTCATGCGTTTGCTGCTCATGCTGCTCTCTCAGCTCCTGCTTCTGATCCTGTCACTTGCCGCTGCCCCTGTTGCTCCTGCTCCCAGCGCACATGCTGCTGCTGTCGTTGCTCCTATTGCTGCTGATCATGCTGATGCTCATGCTGGTGCGCACGCTGCTCCTGCCTCTCCTGCCGCTGCCGTACCAGCTCTGGCTCAATGGTCATATTTGACGGTCGAAGCAGGCAGCCCGGCGGGACATAAACGAGCGCAGCATCAAGAATCGCGTCGTCAAAGCCATTTCGACAGACATTCAGTTCCAGCAAGTTGCTGCTGCCCTGCTGGTACTGATCCGAGATTATAATTATTCTACTCGCCGTCGTAGTCACCGTGGCCCCCCTCATCGCTCCTCCTCCTGCTCCTCCTCCTCCTTCTCCTCCTCATCATCATATGCCTTATCTTTCCTTCATTCCTAATATTTCTCCATCCCTCCTTTCCAACTACTCCGCCTCATCCTTCTCTATCTCTCCGCTCGCAGTTCTCATACACATCTCTCTCTCTCTCTCTCTCTTTCTCTGTCTCTCTTCTCGGCTCTCTCTCTCTCTCTCTCTCATCCTTCTTCAGTATGTGCCCCCTTCGCCTCCTTCGTGCACCTCCACCCGCCCCAAATCTTCCAGCTCCTGGTGCTGCTGCTCTCCGTCCCCCTTCCTTTGTCAAGCCTCTCTCCCCCTCCTCTCCCTCTGCTCCGCTGCCTTCGTCGCCCGATCCTTCTCTCCATCCTCCCTCCTCCTCTTCCTCCTCCTCCTCCTCCTCCTCCTCATCCTTCTCCTCCTCCTCCTCCTCCTCCTCCTCCCTCCTCCTCCTCCTCCTCCTCCTCCTCCTCCCCCTCACACGCACTGCTTTTCCTTCTTCTCTCCTTCCCTTTCCTCCTCCTCCTCCTCCTCCTCCTCCTCCTCCTCCATCTCCTTCTCTCCATGTGTTTCCTCCCGGTCTTCTTCCTCCTCACACGCACTGCTCACGGCAGGCGCGCGGGAGGGGGAGGCAGGTGAGGGTGCTGCTCGGTCGAGCCCTGCTGGGCGTTGCGGTTCCGGGGTCCCTGGAACCCACGACTGGGCGGTGGCTTTGGCGCACGGTTTCGGATCCCCCTCGGACGTCGTGGCTTTTTGGGGAGGCCCTGGGTCCGAGGGGTGGGGAATGTGCCGTGCTTGCCGATCGGTGGGTGAGTTAGTGCGCTTCGGAGAGGGGGGGCCCCGCCCCGTGTAGTCTCGATGGTCTCGGTAGCCTCCTGCTCCGTGTGCTCTTCGACCTTGTCTTCCTCCGCGGTGTCCTCCTCATATTCCTTTCCGATTCTCACCAGCGGGGGAGGGATGTTGGGAGCCCGCCAAGTCAGGCCACTGAGCGTCGCCAACACGGAACACCTACTGGTGGCCATCGCCACCAGGTGATTGCCCAAACCCATGATCGGGGCTGGAGTTTCTTGCATCAGGCGTGGAGGCATCGGAGGTCGATCCGTGTTGTCGAGCTTCGCTGACGCTGAAGAGGTTTCCGTCCAGGCCGCGTTCTGTGTTCTTCGATTTGCGGCCGCGTTCAATTCGGTCGAACGCTCTTTTCTCATTGCTGTTTTGCTGTCGCTGGGATGGCCTGGCTCGCTGCTCAATCGCACCGATGTGTTGGACAGGGATAACTATTGTGGCACAGTCTTCGATGGCGCCCGCTACCGGTGTTTCGCAGTTGGCCAGGGCATCCGCCATGGTTGCCCACTCGCGACTGCTTTTCAGGGATGGCTTCGAACCTCCGACCAGAAACTGCTGCGTGACCTTCCTTCCACAACTGCCCGCGCGTTTCCCGACGATGCCGCGCGCTTTGAGCAACTTCGACGTGCTGGCGTCGACTTCCAGGTGCGATTCAAAACCCTCCGAGTTGGCGCTGAGCGTCCGCAAAACAGTGCTCGTACCCCTCGGACGGCTTTCGCACCTTCATCTTCGTGCGACAGCGTCTTCTGGAGAGAGCGGCATTATGGTCGGCCACGGAGATCGCCGACACCGCAAAACGACCCCGGCTTCTACAGTCAACCCGCATAGTGAGGATTAACTGTTTTCCAAGGCCACCCTTGCATCCCTCCCCTTCGGCCCATCCTGAGCCGCTTTCGCTGGCCGCGCCCCGCCCGCAGGATGTCGACATGGCCTTCCGAGGCCCTCGCATCCTCACAGCCGGGCCGAGGAGGGTACCCTAGTGTTCGTTGTGTTTGTTTGGTGTTCTTGTGCATCTTATCTTGGGGGAGGATACCCTCGAATGCTCTTCAGCTTGGGCCGGTGGAGGGCCTCGTGTTCTTGAATGGTGTGATTATGGCTTAGGTCCGACTGCATCGTGAGTCTTTCGTATACGGTTTGACTGTACTTGGGCCTGGTGGGGCGCCGAGGAAGACGGACGGGAGCGGGCGGCCGTCCTGGGCAGGACACGCGCAGGCATACGTATGCTGCACCGCACGGAGGTCTGATCGGGTCTTCGTGGCTCCGCCTTCGCGTTCGTCGCGAGAGCCAGGGCCACGGCCTTCCCCCCCCCCCCCAGTCAAGCCAGCGGCAGCGCGAGGACGGCAAACACCCCGACTGGTGAGGACACCCAGCGCCTGCGCCCCAGAGAGCACCTGCACCCCCGTGACACCCCCGAAGTCGCAGGGCTAGAGGTTGACACCAACACCAATATCGGCGGTGTGCCTCCACCGAGGGAAGACGATCCCGATCTCGGTGATGGTGTTAATACTCAGGCTTCCAAGGCGACCGAAAGATTGCCACCAACACCGAAATCTAGGATCATCTCCCCCCTGTGGAGACAACCCCCTGTGTTGGTGCTGGTGCCCATTTCCTGGCCTCCAACGAAGCCCCTTTCCCGCAAGCAAGCTCCCTCGGCAAGGAACTCTCCTCCGAGCATGCCTCTGTGCGGTTGGCGCCTGCGGCGTCCCACAGCGGCGCGGGGCAGGTGGGCAGGCCGACTCGTTCCCCGAGGCCTCTCTGTCGTCTCGGTGCAGACGAGCGCCACCACGAATGTTACCTTCTCGGTGCCACCGCGAGCTCTGAGGAGGAGGAGGAGGAGGAGGAGGAGGAGGAGGAGGAGAGGAGGAGGAGGAGGAGGAGGAGGAGGAGGAGGATTCATGGCATCCTCACGAGCGGCGTGCTGGGACCGTGGGACACTGGCGCGGGCGGGTGCTGCAGCAGGAAATTGACAGCACGATCGCTCCCCAAGGTCGAGGAGCGCAGCGCTGCCCGACATATACAGTGGAGGCCAGTCGACAGGAAACCTTCCACAAGAATTTTAACCCTGAGGCCCCATGACGTCCATTGATTTTTGGTGTGAGAACGTCACGCTGTCCATAGCAGAACCGTCGACACCCCGGAAACCCAGGGCACCCTGGAGGCAAGCAGGGTGTCTCTTGGCATGGATCTCCACTGTATCCCTGGTCCTGCACATGGGATCCACGCGGGTCATTCGACGGCTCTGCAGACTCGGGAGTCGGCACGGTCAAAACTAGGAGAACGAGAAATGGCATAAACATGCACATTCTGAGGTCCGCGCGGATTTCATGGATCCGTGCTGGACACCCCCCCCGAGCACGTGGAGCCCAGCGCCGATCCGGGACATCCGCGCGGATCTCCGTGTTTGTTCTGTTTCTGCCACGGTTCGTTCCCTTAGATATGTGAACGGAAAGAGGCGGCACGAAGACCGGCATCATGTCTGGCTGATTCTGAACAGGGCTCGTTTTCGGCATCGCCGCGGACCTTCCCTCTCTGCGACAGAAGGACACCTGCTCAACTGCGGCCGCTGTCAGTTTGGAACAACATGTGCCGTTGGGCCTCGCACGAATGTTGTTCTGTACCCATCTCGGGCGTCAAGGAGCGTCTTGGCATCGCTCGGACGTGCGCATTTTTCCTTTGGCGAGGACCATCGAGGAGCATCCTTGATCACTTGGCGAAGCAACCACGCACGAAGCCGAAAAAGACACGGGGAATGGACGTCCGAGCGATGGCGAGGCGTTGCTTCGAGACTCCCCGGACGCGCAGGCCGTCCGCCTGCTCTGCCAGAGTCCGTGCTGCCCTCCACGAGGGCGCGCTCCAAGGGGTGGCCTTCACGTCTTCGCCCGCGCAGGCCCAGCTCGCGCGCTGCTCGCCAGGCAGTGTGCTGCGCTTGGGCTCCCGCTCGGCATGCACCACAGGTGACGTTATCAAAGGCTCGGGGGTGGACAGAACCCCCAATAGTGACACGTCGATTAGTGAATTGTCCGTTTTCGGTTCTCGAGAGGGCGCCGTGGCCGTTATTTTCCAGGCTTGCGCCTGCCAGGTTTGGGCCTCAGGTCGTTTTCACTAAACCACGTTTTACTAAAGGGGGGTCTGTCCATCCCCGAAAGGCGCTGTTTTTGTTTCCCACCGTCTTCAACGTTTCGGTTCCCGGCCGACCACGGCGGGCAACCATACACAAGGCACCCAGAGACATGCAGCAAAAACGCTGTTGAAGTGACAAAAATGCGCGAGCGAGAATCCCCCAAACGGAAGAACAACGCACCCCCAAACTAACAAACCGTTCGATCCTGACAACGGGTGAGCACAGTCGGTACCATCATGTACGCGCGTGGGCTCTCGTTTGGTGAGGACGTGTTCGTGCTTTCTCCTGCAGGCGATTTCTCGCCCCGCCCATCCCCGAGCTCTCCCATAAAGCCAAGCCGCTCAGAAGAGGAGGGGAGCTCGGGGATGCACCCTGCGTGTTTTGTTCGGACGCTCTCCGTTCGTGGACAGACGCCCCCCCCCCCCCCCCTCTCAATCGTATATCTCCGAGTTGGGCCCAACCTTGCCGTCCAGTCGAAAACCCACAAAGCCGGGGATTGGGGTCGCCATATCTCCCGTGACGGTCGGGAAGTCTTGGACAGCGTGCCGCTCCGCCGTTTTTGGCCCACCGCACCTCGGGTGCGACACGCTGTCCATTTCGCCTCCCCGAGGCGTCCAGGTGCCGAGCTTTTCCTGGCATCCCGTCCCGCGGAGTGGAGCGAGACGCCATCCACTCGCAAGGCACAGCATGTCGCCAGGGCCGCCGTGGCGACACGCTATCCAGATGCCCCCGACCGTATCTCGTTCACGCCCGGTGGCGCACTACAGTCGGGCCGAGGTATAAGATCGAGGTCGGTTCGGGGATGGTACCCTGATGTTCTTCGTGTTTGTTGGATGTTCTTGTGCATCCTAGGGAAGGGTACCCTCGAACGATTTTGAGGTTTGGGGTGTTTTGGCCAGCGGATGGTCTTGTGTTCTTGAAGGGTGCTCTTCTGTCCTAGGTCCGACTCTACGATCTTTCACCACGACAGGGGCCGAAACCGCAGAGCTCCTGGACTTCTCTCGGGGGTCGCCGCGTCGGCCGGCAGGCCCGGGCCATAAGCTGCCGCGCGGCCGTCCTTCGCGGCGGCTTTGCGCCGACGGCGGTCGGGCGACCTTTGTGGACGTGTGGCAGGTTCCCGCCCTCCCAGGGCTCCGACACCGTAGCCTGCAGTCGGACCGAGGTATGAGATCGAGGCCGGTTCGGGGAGGGTCTCCTAGTGTTCTTCGTGTTTGTTGCTTGTTTTTGTGCTGCATCCTGGGGGAGGGTATCCTTAGACGTTCTGCTTGTTTTGGTCGACGGAGGGCCTCATGTTCTTGAGGGAGTCTCCTCTGGCCTAGGTTCGGCAGTACAGCGATCGATGACTGCGCGCAGCGTGGTGTCCATGCCCCCCATCGCGTCCAGGCCGCCGTGGTTCACGCTAGTTTGAGTTGTTGGGTAGCTGCAGGCAGCATCTGCTTGGCAATATCCCTCGGGGACATCACTTCTCCGGGCACAGCGTGCCCGAGCCTCATGGGCAGCATCGCTGGCGACGTCGCGCTGACGGTGTCACCCCGCCTTGTCCGCACCCCACCGACCCTTCCGTCGCATCTTGGAACTATACCTTCCGCCATGTGGTGCCAACTGATACTCGAACGCGATAGTCTTGGACCTCCGTAGCCAGTTTGGCTCAAGCTCGCGCCCGCGCAACGCCCGTGCGCGCCCACAGAGCCCGCGGCGCCGCCCGCGCCGAAGGTGCGATGGCGGCCGCAGCGCCTGAGATCGGCCGCGCGGCTGCAGCCAGCCTGCCCGGGCTGCCCCGCTTCGGCCTCTGCACGCCGCAGCACCCCAGCGCGCTGGCGGACCCGCCCGAGGCCGTGCTGCGGGCGCACCCGGCTTTCGGCCTGTGCGGTCGGCCCCTCTGCGGCGGGCAGGACCACGAGGTGGAGCTGAGCGCCGTGCGGGCGCCGAGGCTCTAGGCTTCCAAGATGGGGTCGGAGCAGATGGGGTCGGAGGATCGCGCCGCATCGCCGATGCATCGGCGATGCGGCTCGATGTGCGGTCCAATTTTCTCCACGCCGACGTCGTGGACGTACCGCCGACGTCGCCAGCGCATGGCCGATGCATCGGCGATGCATCGCCGATGTATCGGCGATGCGGCGAGATCCGTCGACCCCATCTGCTCGGACCCCATCTAGGAGGCCTCTAGAGGTGCGGGCAGTGCAGCGCGTGGGACATACACGCCGTGGACACGGAGCTGACGCTGCCAGACGCGAGCTCGTCCAGCAGCAGCAGCAGCAACGCAGTCCTGTCTAGGAACCTGCAGACGGCGAAGACCGTCATACGGGACGCGTTCGCCGACCTCGAGGCGCAGTGCATCGAGGAGAAGCGCCTCTGGGAAAGGACCGGTGGGACCGCCTCGAGGCAGAAGTGTAACGTGTGGGCGGCCTACACGAACCAAACTCGGTTGCAGCGCTTCGCCGCGGACTCGCTGGAGTTCGCGCGGGCTAACGCCGAGTGTCGGACGCGTTCGCTGACGGCGTCCCAGCTGCGGTTCCTGCTTCTGCTACAGCACTTTGTCTCGGAGGACGCCAGCGACATTGCCAGGCCCGAGATACTGCGGAGGCACCAGGACACGTTCGAGGGCATCATGACCGACGGCGTCAATTCCCAGCTGGTGAAGGACGCTCACCGGTCCGAGTTCTCGGTGGACGGCAGGACCTTCAGCCTGCAGGACTTGCCCGTGCTGGAGGACATCACCGAGGCCGACCGGAGGAACATCATCGCAGAGTTCCAGACAGAGCTCGTGGCCACGATAGAGTCCTACCTGCTCGCCTTCTCCTCGCGCAAGGGGCTATCACCGCCCGGCACGCGGCGACTGATTCAGGCGGTCACCACGCAGATGTCCCAGGCGGGCCTGGCGAACCTGGACCGGGGGTCCCAGGCGGCGAGGTACTCAGCCACGCGCAGAGGGGGGTGGGGGGAGGGGGGAGGGGAGAGGGCTGCTTAGAAGCACCCCTGCTTCTCATAAGGCGGGCCTCGTCTACAGATGTAGGGCCGGCGCCTTCTAAGAAGCAGCCTCCTTCGAAGAAGCCCTCCCCCCTGCCTCCACCCCCCTGTGCCCGCCGCCAAGGTACTTCGTCGGCAGCCAGGGCCTCGACCAGAGCACGGCCTACAACCTCTCCGCGATGCACTCCGCCGAGCAGGGCGAGTGCCTGAAGCTGTCCATCCTGTGCATGAAGACAGGCTTCTCGCAGTTCCTGGAGAAGGACAAGCTGCTGATGACGCCAGGCGTGGACCGGCCGAAACACTGCAAGCCTTCGTCGTATCTGTACCAGTACGCGACCCTGCGCTTCGCCCCGGGCCCCGTCGACGACAGCTGCGAGAGCGTCGTCGTCACCGTGCTCGACGCGCTCGACGAGGCGCGCATCGACCTCGACGGCTCCTAAGCCCTGGGCCTCGGCCGGCGGGGCTTCCGCGGCGGCTCCGCGCGGGCACAGCTTGAAAGGGGCCGCGGTGGCGGACAGCGCCCGCGTGTCGAACAAAAGACGCAACAGTGTTGGGTTGGTGGGCACGGCAGCATGCTGGGGGAACATCGTGTGTGCCCCTGTCCCCTTCACCCCGACGGACGAAGGCCTTGGCTACTGCTTCGTGGATCGCGCAGACACGCGTGACATTTTTGGAGCGTGCAGGGTTTTCACGCGTGCACGCCTGCCGCAGAGGCAGTCGATTGCAGCACCCCTCCAGACATGCCCCCAATATGGCAACATCCTTGACACATAGATTGTGATTGGATCGAGAATGCTTGCCTCGTAGTTTTATCATTCCCGAGGGGGCCATGCGGCCTCATAATGGTTTCAAGAAGGCCAGGAAGAGAGCCCATGGGGCGAGGAGGGGCTGCCCAGGTAGGGACCCAAGAGAGGCCCCAACCCGCGCGAGTTGCGAACAGGCCAGCAAGGACCAGCGTCCCCGGCGCTCACAGGACGGCAGGAGGAGGCAGGCAGGAGTGAGAGGAGAGGGGATGACGACGAGCTGCGGAGACCCCCCGTAAAAACACTGCGTTCCAGCATTTGTCCTACGTCGTGCTGTTCGCGAGTTTGGTATCATAGAATTGCTACAATTCCCAGCTCCAGTAACAGCTGCAAAAGGCCGCGGCAGCAGCAAAGCAGCAGAGGCCTGGCATGATACCCTGACCGTGCATAGATCTTGGCTCAGGCGAGGAGGGGTCTTGCGGCGTGGGGTAGGGGAAGGGGTAAACCACTCCCCGAATAGGGGAAGAAGGCCGTGCACGGATGAGGCAGCTTGAGCCGAGCGCCGGCTGAATCATGAAGTGCCCTTTAGCCAGCTTAAATCGCAGGTATTGGCGGGTATTGACTACGGGACGAGAGCCGGAGGTATTGACTACGGGACGAGAGCCGGACCCCCCCCCCCCTCCCCCCCTTGCGGCAAATGACGAAACCCAGAATAAATAAACGCTCACTTTCCCCCCCCCTCAGGGGCAACGATGGGAGGGGAGAGGTTCAGGAAGGAATGAATCGACCCTGCATCGCCCACTCATCGCCGATCGGGGCCTGAAGGCTCACCATGCCCATGAACGTGCGGTTTCGCCATCGGTGACCCATCGCCGAGCTATCAGCGACGTTTCGCCGATTCCAGGTCGATGCTTCCTTTCCTCGGTCGGCCCCGGCTATCGTTTCCCCCTCACCCCCTCTTGGTGCCCAAAATGCTGCCCTGGCAAAAGGCCGCCGAGAGGGCGCAGGTCGAGCTGGCCGGCCAGCTCGAGTTGGAGGCCGACGCGCTGCGATCGGAACGGGCACGCTGCGGCGAGGCCTCGCGGCGCCCCCGACGACGACGGCGACGACGACGACGACGACGACGACGACGACGACGACGGCGGCGACGACGACGATGGCGACGACGGCGGCTGCGGCGGGTGCGGGGGCTTCGTCGGCGAACGACGACGGCGGCGGCGGCGGTCAAGGCCGCGGCGTCCACGCGACGGCGTCTGCGCAAGGAGTGTGTGTGTGTGTGTGTGTGGTTACGCCTGGGTGTGGTCTGCGATATGTGTCGTTTGGGCTTGGGGGGCACCATGTTACCCTCGTCGGCACCCTCGGGACGCGGCGGAGAGCTCTGTCGAGGTCCTCGCCGCCCCCCCCCGGATGCGGTTGGCAAGCCGTGCCCGTTGCAAACCACACCTTTCGGAGATGCTGACAGGTGGATGACGATGGCCTGGGCAAGGCGCAACGATAGCATAGGGGATATGGGTCCAGCGGGGGGAGCATCGCCCCACCCCCCACCCCAATCGCCCATTCATCGCCGATAGGGGCCCGACTGCCCAACCCCCGCCCAGCAACATACGGCTTCGCTATCGGGGGCCTACCTCCGATCTCTCGGCGAGGTATCGCCGATTCCAGGTCGATGTTTGCCCCCCCCCCCCCCTCCCCCCTCCTCCCTCCCTGAGCTGGCCCCCCCACCCCCCCCACGTCTCGTTCCCCCTGGGCCCCACTGGAATCGCAAAACATGGGCTGAGGGGTCCAGGATCTGCGCGCCCCGTCGCGGAATCAGGTGGCGCTGGCCTTCTGTTCCGGGGATGCCTTCCCCGATCCGTGGATCTGGCGCCCACGTGCTACGCGCTAGATCCACGCATCCCTAATCCATGGTAGCGTGCGCCCAGACCTCCGGCCAGCGTAGGCCAGCAGGTTCGCTCCTCGCCCCCGCCCCTTCCTGCCGCTTCCTCCTCTTCCTCCTCGTCCTCCGCCTCCTGACCCTGAGAACTCAGAGGTTCCGGAGTTCTAGGAGCTGCTTGGAATCGTCCCCGACCGCCTTGACCTGCACCTCCGGCTCCTGAAGCCTTCCTCCTTTTGTGCGATTAACTCCTCCACGTCGCACCACCAGAGGTGTAGTTAGGGCAAGCTGGGCGTTTCGCCTGAGGTTTCCTGGCCCGTTACTACATTGAGGCTTGAAAGTTCCAACAGTTCCACGGATGAAGGATGGCCCATTTTCAAGATTAGGTTCTCGCCTTCTTCAGAAATTCCAGTGACATGCCCAACCCAAACGGACCAGTCAGCAAAATCAATGGCGTTATCCCAATTCGATGATAGTATGTCAGGGGGCACGATCCCTCTCGCTTCGCGGGGTGCACGTCTGGTGCACGTGGAGTCTGGGCGTTGGGTAGTTTGCCCTGCTCGTCCGCCGCGCTGTTCTGCCGTGTCGTTCTGCCCGCCCTGGGGCGCTGCCAGCGCCGCGGGGGGCGGATATGCGCCCCCTTGCAGCGCCAGGGTGAGCGCGCGAGCAGCCAAAAGGGCAATGAGAATTCACCGCGTGTCAGCATAAGGCAACGCCAAGTTCAAACTCCGATGAGCATAGAAGCAACGCGCTATATGCTATATGTACAATGCCGCAGGCTTCTTGGTGATTTCTAGGGGCCGTTCGAGGGCCTCTTGGGAGCCTCTTGAAGGTTTCTCGTGGGCCCCTTTGGGGCCTCTTGCGGCCTCTTGGGAGCCTCTTGGGCCGTCTTGGGGACCTCTTGCGCCGTCTGGCCCCTTCGGAGGCCGTCTTAGGGGCTTCTCGGGGCCGCCTTGGGGCTCTCGTGGGGTCCTCTTGGGCCGTCTTGCGGGCTTCTTGGACCATTTTGGAGGCCTTTTCGGGCAATATGTGGGTCGTGTTGGTGCCCTCTTGGTGGCCCCCAGAAAGCCCACAAAATTGGTACATGTATATGTGTATATATATACACATATATGTACATCTACACATATACACATATATACACACACACACACCTACTTCTACATTTGTACAAGCCGGGGGGATGGGAAGACCCGAAAGAGCGCGTTCTCTGGTCGCTTGGAGGGAGTGGGGGGGGTTGGAACCGGATCCCGCCGAATCCCCCCCTTCTCCTGGATGCAAGCAGGGGGGTTCGACCCCTCCCCTTTCCCGTTACGTAAGGGGGGGTGTTCGAACCCCCCCCCCCGTTCCCCCCGCCTCCCCTCTCCCCTACTTCTCTCATGGGCCGGCGCCTGCGTCGGCGGCGGCTGGCGGCGGCGGCGGGGACGATGGCTTCTTTTTCTGGACCGGCGCCGGCGCCTGCGGCGGCGGGCGGCGGAGCCGGGGAGCGTCGACGAGGACGACGGCAACGACGCTCCGCCACCGTGCCTTGGTTTTGGGCCAGAGTTCTAAAGGATGCCTCTTGGGGTCTCGTCGGAGGGCTCTCGGGGGCCTCTGAAGGACGTTTGTGAAGCCTCCTGGGCGCCTCTTGGGCGTCTCTTGGGACATCTCTGAGGTGGTGGTGGTGATGGGCTGTGGTGGTGGTGGTGTTTGTTGTGGCGGTGGTGGTGGTGGTGGTGGTGGTGGTGGTGTTGTGGTTGGTGGTGGTGGAAAGCTTGTTGTGGTGGTTGTGGTGGCAGGTTGTGGTGGTGGTGGTGGTGGTGGCGGTGGTGGTGGTGCGGTGGTTTCTGGTGGTGGTGGTGATGGTGGCGGTGGTAGTTGTGGTGGTGGTGGTGGTTGAAGGTGGTGGTGGTGGTGGTTGCGGTGGTGGTGTGGTGCTTTGTCGTGGTGGTTGCGGTGGTGGTGGTGGTTGTGGTGGTGGTTTGTTGTGGTGGTGGTGGTGCGTGGTGCTGGTTGTGGTGGTGGTGGTCGTGGTGGTTGTGATGGTGTGGTGGTTTGTGGTGGTGGTGGGTTGTGGTGGTGGTGGTGGCGGTGGTGGTGGTTGTGGTGGTTGTGGTGTTGTGGTTTGTTGTGAGAGTTGTGGTTGAGGTGGTGTGTGGTGGTGGTGTTGGTGGTGGTGGTGGTGGTTTGGTGGTGCTGTGATGATGGTTTGTAGTGGTGGTGGTGGTAGTGGTCGTGGTGGTTGTGGTGGTGGCGGTGGTGGTGTTGTGGTGTGGTGGTTTGTGGTGTTGGTGGTGACGGTGGTAGTGATGGAGATGGTTTGTGGAGGTGGGGCTGGTGGTGGTGGTGGTGGTGTGATGGTTTGTGGTGTTGGTGGTGGGTTGTGCTGCTGGTAATGGTGGTGGTTGTGGCGGTGGTGTTGGTGGTGGTGTGAAAGATTGCGGTGGTGGTAGTGGTGGTGGGTTGTTGTGGTGAATTGTTGTTGTGGTGGTGGTGGTGGTGGCTGTGGTGGTGGTGGTTGCGTGGTGGTTTGCTGGTGGTGGTGGTGTAGTGATTTGTGGTGATGGTGGTGGTTGTGGTAATGGTGAGTTGTGGTGGTGATGGTGGCGGCGGTGGTGATGGTGGTGTTGTGGTTTGTGGTGGTGGTGGTGGTGGTGGTGGGTGGTGGGTGGTGGGTTGTGGTGGTGGTAGTGGTGGTGGTTGTGGCGGTGGTGTTGTGGTGGTTTGTGCTGGTGATGGTGGTTGGTTGTGATGATGGTTGTGGTGGTGGCGCTGGTTGTTTGCTGGTGGTGGTGGTGGTGGTGTAGTGATTTGTGTTGATGGTGGTTATTGTGGTAATGGTGGGTTGTGCTGGTGGTGGTGGTGGCGGTGGTGGTGGTGGTAATGTGGTTTGTGGTGGTGGTGGTCGGTGATGGGTGGTGGGTTGTGGTGGTGGTAGTGGTGGTGGCTGTGGCGGTGGTATTGTGGTGGTTAGTGCTGGTGGAGGTGGTTGGTTGTGGTGATGGTTGTGGTGGTGGCGCTGGTTGTGATGGTGTTGGTAATGGTGTGGTTGTTTGTGGTGATGGTTGTAGTGGTTGTGGTGGGTTGTGGTGGGTTGTTGTGGTGGGTTGTGGTGGTGCTGCTTGTGGTGGCGTTTTTGGTGTCGGTGGTGTTGCAATTTGTGGTGATGGTGGTGGTTGTGGTGATGGTGGGTTGTGGTGGTGGTGGCGGCGGTGGTAGTGGTGTTGTGGTTTGTGGATGGGAGTTGCCTGGCAAGCAGAAAAGTAAAGGGGGATGGAAAGGAAGAGCACGACCATCGCAAGGGAATGCCGATCGGAATGGGTGCTGGGGGAGGAGGCTCTCCATGCAGGCGTATATAAACAAGTGTCATTTTAGTGCGTAAAAGAATTAACGCGCGAATTAAAACATACGAGTCTATAGACGTTGCCACATAAGTGCGCGCTTCTGGGCCCCGCCAGGGGGCGTCATCTTGGCCTGCGGATGTGGCGCGAATCCAAGCGCCATCGTCTTCGCAGAAGACGCTGCCGCTCAGCGCGCCACCTCCAGACGTGGATTCATTTCGTTTCGCGGGGTGCACGTCCAGAGCGCGTGTAATCAAGTCTTCGCGGGGCATCCTGGGTGCCTCTTGGGGGCCTCTCGGAGGCGTCTCTCGGGCCTCTTTGGGGCTTCTGGGGGCCGCGTATTGGGCCGTCTTGGGGTGCTCGCGTTGCCTGGCCTCTTCGGCGGTCGTCCTGGGGGCCTCTCGGGGCCGCTTGAGGGTCTCGGGGTCCTCTTGGGTCGATTCGGGGACCTCTCGGCCCGTCTCGGGGGCATTTTGGGGCCTTCTCGGGGCCCTCTTGGGCCGGCCGTCCTGGGTTTCTCTCCGGGGCCTCCGGGGCCAGTCAGGGCGCATTTTGAAGACTGCCTGGGCCGTCGCGGGCCCCCAGGACCCCCCCGAGGTTTGTCAAACGCCGCTGGGGAATCCACGCCTTCGGCATCTGGAGGTTCTCCTGGGGGTCACCGTGGGGCCCTCTGGGGAGCAGGAACTTTCTGAGGCACCGGGCAAAACTTTCCGACTTGGGAGTCGGCCAGTCGGGCATGCGGGGAGTCGCCCAGTCGGGGAGTCGGAGAGTCGGGCAGTCGGGAGTCGGTCAGTCGGGGAGTCTGCCAGTCGGCCAGTCGGGAAGCCGGCCAGTCGGGGAGTCGGCCAGTCAGCCAGTCGGGGAGTCGACCCGTCGGTCAGTTGGCCCGTCGGGGAGTCGGGAGTCGGCCAGTCGGGAAGTCGGCCAGTCGGGGAGTCGGCCACTCGGGGAGTCGGCCAAGAGTCGGCCAGTTGGCCAGTCTGGGAGTCGTGAAGTTTCGGAGACCCATATGATATACACCAGGGTGCCGCGCGGAAAAATCTGGCCTGAAGCAGCGGGGCATGGCGGGCGCATCGATGCAACATCGGTCGTGTGCTATTCGTTTCATCGCGCGCCCCATGATTAACTCCGCGGGGGGGGGGGGGGGCGTTGGCGAGCCCATGGCTAAAACTTCCTGGGCCCTGGAATAGCGCACGGGCCCCGTCCGCGGCAACTGGCCCCACCTTCGGGCGCGCGGCAGCAGCGCAACACATTGATGGGGGATTCGGAGGAGACGGAGAAGGGCAACGAAGGGAAGGACAGGTAAGTTGATAAGGTCGGAAGGGGGATGATGGGGGGAGGGAGGAGGAGGACGGCGGCGAGAACAGTGCGAGAGCGGGCCGACCTGCGGTTCGGGCGTCGTTTACTGAGGATTCCCGTTGACTTTGCTTGCGCGATCTCGGGCTCCAGGGCCTGCCGCGCGGCTCCAGCTCTCCGCGGAACCGCCCCCCATCCGCCACCTCCGTTTTTCGCTTTTCCTGTCGTCTGCTTTATTCCCCACAATCGGTGCTTACAGACCCCAGGAGTTATCCAAACCGAGCTCGCACTAGCCGCCATGTCAGACGAGCCTTGGCGCATGCGGCGAAACCATGCTGGTCTCGGTGCATGCGCGACGCGCGCGCGCTCAGAGTTCTCACGCGGGTTTCCCTTATCGCCCCCTCTCCAGAGAGAGCTTGGTTTATACAGGGGGGGCGAACTTGGGGCCGAAACGAACGCTCCATATACACCAACGGAGAAGGACGCTGCGTTTGTGTGATCCCGCTGATGACAGCAGCGGGGGCGGGGGGGGCCAGTCAGGTCGCATTCCCCCCCCCGGCCTGGCGCGTCCGCCAAGCATGCGAAGGGAAGCGCGATGGATCATCATATGGAGCGTGGGAGCGTCTTGCAGTGCCTCGCGGACCCAAACGACAAGTCCGTTCGTCATGAGAAGCGCCGACGCGTGTCCACAGCGAGAGTTTCGGAGCTGAAAGATGGCGTTGTTCAGCCAGGGGGCAATTCTCACAAAGGCGCCCACCCGCGACCCGCGTCAAGCACGAACATATGGCAACGCACTGTTCGGCATTGGCACTGCAGGTGCCTTGGTAAATCATGGAGGATTTTGCGGGCATGCCGGACTGATGGGTTCCCGAAGGTGATGATGTCTATCGCCATGTGGCAATGTTGTGAATATTTTTTGAAGTTGTTCAGGCACTGAGATCACTGAGGCACTGCGCATATAGTCTGCCTCGTACGGGGTGTCTCGCGTGCATGTGGCACACGTGGCTTCAACTTCGCGTTGACATCGCGGACAAGGGGGGCATTGTGCCCCCGCGATTGTTCCACCAGGGTGTCCCGCAGAGGCCTGGTGCATATGGAAGGCGTCACCCACAGTCGGCCAGTCGGGGGGAGTCGGCCAGTCGGCCAGTTGGGGAGTCGGCCAGTTGGAGAGCCGGCTAATCGGGAAGTCGGCGAGTCGGGGAGTCGGCGAGTCGGGGAGTCGGCCAGCCGGGGAGTCCACCAGTCGGGGAGTCGGCCAGTCGGGTAGTTGGCCATTCGGGGAGTCGGGGAGTCGGCCAGTTTGGGAGTCGGCTTGTCGGCCAGCCGGGCAGTCGGGGAGTCTGCCAGTCGGGGAGTCGGCCAGTCGGGGAGTCCGCCAGTCGGGGAGTCGGCTTTTCAGGGAGTCGGGGAGTCGGGGAGTCGGCCAGTCGGGGACTCGGCTAATCGGCCAGTCGGCCAGCCGTCCAGTCGAGGAGTGGGGGAGTCGGCCAGACGGCCAGTTGGGGAGTCGGCCGCTCGGGGACCCGGCCAGTCGGAGAGTCCTGGGGGTTTCACTGGGGGCGTCTGGTAGGCCTCCCGGGGCATCCTGAAAGCCTTTCGGGGGCGAGGGCCGGACATGTCCGTTCGGGCCCCGCGCCTGGGCACCTCTTGGAGCCGTTTTGAGTGCATCTTGGCTTGTCTTGAAGGCGTCCAGGGCTGTCTTCGGTCGCTATTTTGGGAACCTCTTGGGGGACATTTGGCCGTATTGGGACGATCTTAGGGGGCCTCCTGGGCCGTCCAAGAGCGTCGGGAAGCGGAAGGGGCGGAAACGTCCAAACGTATCAAAACCCGAAGGGGAATCTATGATTTTTGCTCTTGGGGCCTCTTGAGGGTGCTCCTGGAGGCTTATTATGGCGCGTTGCAGGCCTCATGGCCGTCTGGAGGCCGTCAAGGCGTCTTGGACAGATCGCTCGGCGATCCGGGGCCCTCTTGGACCGTCTTCACTTGGGGACCCATTCGGGCACTCTTGGCCCGTCCCATGGTTTTTGAGGGGCCCGGGACTGCTCGGGGGGAACTCGTATTTGGGTGGCGCCCCCCCCCCCCCCCCCAAGGACCCCCC